GTCTGGAGGCCGGCCGTGGGTTTGTGGAATCTGCTCTTAAATTAAAACCCCCCCCCCCCCCCCCCCCCCCTTGAAAAAGAGAAAAATGAAGATCCGTTTGTATATGCCGAGTCATAGCGGCTGCCCACCTTTATTATACCGTTTTTTGTAATGTTTGAATCCGAAACCCGCCCTCGAAATACCTTCTAGAAATACCTCTCTACACAGAACGGCGGTCCCTTCTCTCTACAGGGAATGACACTCTGAAACCTCCTCCACATGTCATATTCATACTTCATCTCTGCTTGTCTTTCGCAAATTAATCACGTTTGGCTTGGAAAACTGCTGGCTTTGGCATGTTATCTCTTTGTTTATCCCTTTTTGCGCGTACGTACATTGTGGTCGATTAGATACGGCTAGGGGAAGGGGATTACGACGGGGCCGGCAGAGGGGCGTTGGAATACTGCTTGTTTCGAATCCATGAACGTTAGCATAATATATCATGGACATACTGTCAACATCATGTGCTGTTATTTCTTCATTACCGGAGTAAACATGTTTGAGAGAAGGAAAGAAACAGCATATATTTTACAAGATTTTTACCTGTTTGGGTGCACGTCATGCCGTCACACCTTGTCCGCCAACGGACCAGATCTTGATTGACGATTCATCAAAGATTCTACTATGATGATTGTATCCATCAACAGTCAAGCCAGCCCCCGCAGAGGCAGTATCCAAGTCTTGTTCCCGCGGATACCCCCAGCCGCCCGAGCATGTTGCCGCAACGGAGCCGCTAGAGTGTACAATGGTGCTTCCTATCGGGGACTCGTGGGCTTTCCACGCCCAGCTGGGATCAATGGCATCGTTCTGCATGCCAACTCCCTCCCATACCGCCACCGTACCATGCTGAGTGCCGGCCCAGACCTCGAAGCCGGATTCTGCGGGAAAGACGTCAAAGTGCAGCCGCTGCTGCGTGGTCGACCTGCGTCCCTTGAGCACAGCCAAGAGCTGTCCGGTCCCCCGGATATCGTAGACCAGCAAGCCGTCAGCCTGACGCTCGTTGACGACAAGGTACCGCCCGCAGGGGCTCCACGCCGTCTGCACGACGCCCTGGCCTCCCAGGCTGATACGAAAGGCCTTGTGGTCGGCATCCGCGATCGACCAGTTCGCAACAACTCTATCAGAACGGTGGAGATCGTACGTCCCCATCCAGCGGGTCCAGGTGCCGGCCGCAAGGATGGGTCCGTGGCCACTTGCGTCTGCAGGAGGCGATGATGCCAAGGCGGCCACGGTGCCTTTCATGCCGACGCCGCTACCCTTGGCGATGTGGCGCCGGGATGGAATCGTGGGAACCGTGACCGTTGGGCCATCCGAGCAGTGGCCAGACACGTCGAAGAGATCGATGCGGTTCGCCGAGCCGCAGACGAAGTGAGTGCCGGGGTATTCCCAGAGCAGAGACGCAGGGGTGATGTACTGCTCGGACTCGTGCCGGATAAGCTTATAGGTGTAGAGGGGGCGGCTGGCGACGGCAGCAGCACCCGCCGTCGTATCCTTATCCTCCGGCCGAGGAAAGGCGTGGTAGAGATGGAGGGGATGATCTCGACAGCCAACCAGAAACATTTGCGAGGCCGGATTGGCTAGGGAGAAGTAGGGCGCGGCGGCGAGGGTTTGGGTGGGCTCTGGGAGCTTGATGCCGGCCTGGCAGCCCAATTTGCGCGCTTCTCCTGCAGGCTGCAGGAGGTCTGCAGGAAGGGCAAAGGACGAGACGGTCTGGTCGGATGATAGGGCGAGGATGACGGTGCCGTCGGCTGTCCACTGAGCAGACGAGTAGAAGCGTCGGTCCAGCGTGTCGAGGCCGCTGTTCTCGCTGTCCTTGTGGTTTCCGTCTCCCTCGCCAGGTAAAGGCTTCTGCCTCTCGTCCAATTCCGGCTTGCTCACGGCGAGATGCTCAGCGAGCAGGCGAATGGCGGGCGCCTCTTGCTGCCCGCCATGAGCGAGAGGCGGTGCTTCAGGTTGGGCTTGGGCCGGGTCCATGGTATTGGCACTTGCACTGGCACTGGCACTGGCATTGCTGCCCCGGTAGACAAGGCTCGAGCCGGTCCACATTCACCGCTGCATGATCGATGGGCTCTCCGTGTCAGGTAGAAGATGGTGGCGATGGCCGTCCAATCAGCCGGAATGCGCCGTAATCAGTGAGTTGTTCAGGTTTGACGACTCGAGGTGCGGTGCTGAAAATGCAAGGGAGGAAAAAGATGGGTGGACGCTAAAGGCGGAAGCCCTGAAAAAATCAAGGTTACTAAGGTACCTAGCGCGTACTCTGTACTTGGACGCGCGCCTTAGCACCAGCCTGAAGGCACCTTGGAGCAGATCTAAACGGGCTGCCCTACCCGACCGGACGACGTCATTCCAGCACCTTGAGGGTCTCTGGTCGAGTACGGAGTACGGAGTGCGTACAAGGCAGTACTTTGCGATGCCTCCAAGAGGTTGTAGGTGCTGACGGCCCTGACAAGGATTGGCATCGATATTTGGATGAATCTCACTAATGACCTTTTGTACCGTATGGCAACGCAACAAGTGGTCTAGAGCTCATCACTCGTGCTGAATTGGGGTTCCATGGATGACAATTATTAACAACATCAATGGAACATTCAAGCCCTCTCCTTAGTGCAAAGTGGTGGTGTTCAGCCCCCTGTGGCCCTTGGATACGGGGTACATTAGCTCCTCGGGGCTTTCAGAGGCAGCAGCTGCTCCAAGCACCAACATGTACATGTAGGGTGACACTGCAGCCGTGATGGCTGAACTGCTTGATCCTGTCGATTGATTACATGTACCTGCGAGCACTGGGACCTCGAATAGATTTGGAGACTTGAGCTTCCCTAAGACTTCCAATGACTGCAGTGGCCTGATCCTGAACCCTCCCTATGAGATGCACCGCAACGCCGCCCGCACGCACGCATTGACTCATTCTGTCCATGTCTGTCAGAGTCACTGCTGAGTCCCCCCTTACATGTATCGTGTACCTGGTGGTGCTCCCTACGAGTACCTTGGAGGTTCTCAGGGCTGCCCGTATTCTTTCCCCCCCACCCCCCAGAAATGGACAGCAGGCACCGAATGATTTCCCCGACCAGCCCAAAAGCTTCCTAGCGCTCGGGGCTGCTGCTAAAGGGTACAGGTAGGACTGGACCATACTGAGGCGCTGGGCGAGCTCCGTACCCCGTACTCGCTAGCAGGTACAGGTACTGCGGCGCTCGACCTCAGCAGCACCCGTTAGCGGTCCACTGGCGCAGTTAGCGGGCCGTTAGCTGTACTGGGTACCTCGACGGGGGCATAGGGACACCGCACCAGCACAAGCTCACCATCTCCCATCCGGCCGGTGACATTGAACCTAATCCCATCCATCCCATCCCACCCCATTCGCCTTACTTACCTTGGACCTCTCGCTGCCGGTCTCACCTCTGCCACGCTCACTTTGACCTGACCTGACCTGACCTGACCCTGAGAAGCTCCCACCGGAAATCGTGACCCCCCGGCTGCCAGCGTCAATCAATATCAATCAACCGCCTCCCGCCCTTCTCCTGCCCGACCATGAATCCCGCATAGCCCGCCTTGCAGTCATCCTCCTCGCCCCTCGCGGCTTCAGCCCGACCACAGCACCAACCAACAAAGACAAAGAAATCCCGACATCGCAGCAGCATCGAGCTGAGCCTCGTCTCGTCTCTCCCTTGGCAAATCGTTTCTATCTGTACCGACTCCACAAAGACCAGCCGTCGACCCCATCGACCAACTCCCACTGCCTGACGACCGAGTCATCGTTTCGTCTCTCCATCTCCGTCTCGACTCCTCCATCGATGCCAAACACGATGGAGACCTCTCCCTTGACAATGGCCGCGGCCTCCACTTGCGATGCCCTCAAGACGCCCTCCTACATGGAGCTGGTGGTTTCCATGTGAGTCGCAGCCTCGGCATCTCCAATCTCGCATCTCGTCTTGGCTGACCATCACGTTGCAGCGTCATCCTCGTCGGCCTCTTGATCTCGTACCTGCCACAGCACTATCGCATCATCTCTCGAGGCACCTCCGAAGGCATCTCCCCCTACTTTGTTCTTCTCGGCACAACCTCCGCCACCGCTGGCTTCGCCAACATCCTAACTGTGTCGCCCTCCCGCAAGGCCATTGGCTGCTGCAAGGAGCTGGAGACATTCGAGTGTGCCGCCGGACTGCTTGGTGTCGCCCAGCTCGGAACGCAATGGCTATGCTTCACTGCCATGTATGTCGACAGCCCCTGTCCCCTGTCTATCCCTGATGACCTGCGCTAACTCCCCGATCCCTGCAGCCTTGTGCTGTTCCTCATCTTCTTCCGCTATCGCGAGGCCAACGTGCCCCAGGAGGAACTTGGTGGAGAGAGCCCCAGATGGCAAACGGCCGTCGCTGTCGGCGGTCTCTGCATCCTTCACGGCCTGATCGTCATTGCCTTGACTGGTGTCTTCGCGATTGCCATGCCTGACCAGCTCAACCTGTGGGCCAATTTTCTCGGTGTCATGGCTGCCGTTCTGGCTGCCATTCAGTACATTCCCCAGATTTGGATGACCTACCACCTTAAGCACGTCGGTAGCCTGAGCATCCCCATGATGTGCATCCAGACGCCGGGTGGTCTTTTATTTGCCGCCAGTCTTTTCATGAGACTTGGCGTGGAAGGCTGGAGCACATGGGCTATCTACCTGTTGACAGCCGCCATGCAGGGCAGCGTGCTCGCCATGGGCATCTACTACGAAGTTGCTAGACGCAGCGACGACTATGCGCACAGCTACGCCAGCAGTGCGCCCCAGTCTCCCATCGAGCATCACGCCACGCCACAGCGCCCATACGCTCCTCGTACCTACTCCGAGGGCTGGGAGCGTGGCCTGCCGGGCCCCTTTACGGGTCACCCCGAGCGATACGCCGAAACCGAGGAGGACCTGGACGATATCGAGGAGCGGGAGGAGCGAGCCATCGCCAGAGAGAACCAGCCGCTTCTCCGACCTGGCGGCATTGGCAACCCGCACAAGAACTATCACTCGACCTCGCGCCACTGATTTGGTAGTGTTTCGTTGATAAGACACAAGGCCGTCTCGAAAGGAGGCGCCAACTTGTTTAACTAGGTAACTACTATACTGTTGCTGCTGATTGCATTTGAGCTATAACTTGTACCATTGCAGAGATAGAGCATCTCAGTGCAAGTAAAGGGATATTGATACATTGCGTGATTGAGGGAAGACCCCCCTTTTTTTCCATCAAAAGAGCTTTCTTTTTTTTTTTTTTTAATTTTTTTTTTCTTTTTGATCGGATGTGAGATGTAAGATTATATACTAGTAGTTTGTCTACTTTGCTTATTTACCTGAGCTATGAAGGAAATTTGAGGCCGTCATTTGGGCCGACGTTATGCATTGCGACGCTGACTGTAAGCGAGATCACAAACACAAAAGTGCCTTTTTCTTTTCAACCCGGATCATGCGCCCACATTTCCACAGTAGTAGATACACGTAGATTTGTGACACTCGGCACCCTCACTGTTCATCTTGTATGTATGTGATTGACACATGTTTGATCTAAAGCCTCTATCTCCCTCGTCTGGGAAGTGAACGATTGTTCTTCATTAACTCTAAAAAGAAAGAAAAAAAGGGATATATATAATCAATCCACCATCATGAACACGTAAAATCCGCTGGTTCATTAAAACGGAGTATAAACAGCAAATACTTTATAAACACATCCCTCCCCTTCTAAAAATTCATCTCACGCACATTGCTCTTCTTGTCCTGCCCCTTGCCTCCAGTATGTCTCTCCTCGTCATAGCTGCCCTGGCTGCCACTGTCATCCGCAGGCTGCAAGTCATCGTCGAGGTCCCCGCCCACTTCCATCCACCGGTCACTCGTAGCGGGGATGGGCGAGATCTTGCACAGGATCCAGTACATGCCGGCCGAGATGATGAAGCCGCAGAAGAAGTTGAGGTTGTAGATGTAGGTAGCGCCAATGGGCACTTTGGTGCCCACCGCGCCGGCAAAACCAACGACGTTGATCAAGATGCCCGAGATGTACGCTGCATATGCGCGCCAATGGATTCCCCAGGTGTAAAAGTAAGGACCGGTGCTGCGGCTGTCGTAGAGCTCCTTGGTATCCAAGTACCCCTTTCGCACGAAGTAGTAGTCGGAGACTATGACACCGGCGATGGAACTGAGGAAGACGCTGTACGCAGACAGGTAGGTCGTAAACTGGTTGGAGCTGCTGAGCAGGTTGTACGGGCACATAGCCAGACCAACGATGGCGCAAATGTACGATCCGCGGCGGATGTTGATATATCTTGGGAGAAGCGCCGTCATGTCTGTTCCTGCAGAGACAGAGTTGGCGGCAATGTTGGTACCCAGCTGAGCTAGAGCAAAGGCCAAGGAGATGATAAAGACGCCGAATCTCTGGCCGGAGCCGCCGTCGTCGATGAACCGACCAAGAAGATCCAGGGGACTCCAGATTGGCTCGTCGTAGATGATGGTGGACGACGACGAGACGATGATTCCGATGAAGGAGGTGATGGCAAAGCCCAGCGGAATGGTGAAAAGCTGCGACCAAAAAGCATCCTTGGGCTTGCGCGCGAATCGAGTAAAGTCGCTGTCGTTGACAACCAGCGTGGCAAAGTTGGCAATGGAAGACATGACTCCATTGACGAATTGCCATCCGAGCTCGCTGCCGTGGATGGTGGCGGGCTGTCTGATGATGGGGCCAACACCGCCAGCTCGGACGCAGGCCCAGATGAGGAACGCGATTCCAGCAACAGGCACAAAGTAGGCCTTGACGGTGAACAGATGGCGAACCTTGTGAACCGGGAACCACAGAGCTGGCAGAGAACACACCCAGAATATGACAAACGAGACGTACTCGGGGGTGTTGGTGGCGTCGGTGCCAAAGCTGCCCGGCATTTTAGTGGCATCCCAGGATTTCCAGATGGAGCGGATCATGAGATAGACACAGGTGCCACCGATGTAAGATTGAACGCCATACCAAATACATGCTGATTTATGTTAGCGGTTGTTCTGGGATGGTGAATGTGCAATTGGCGAAGAAGCCCGGAGGATCCCGATGTCTCGGCGTTTTGGCATTGGTTTCACTTACCCATGGCAGCACGATTGAAAACCGGCCATAGACTGCCCCAGATGCCAAAAGACGAACGGCCAATGACTGGGAAACCAATATGGTATGTGGCTCCGATGCGTCCGGTGGTGACGATGAAGCAGGCCGAAATAGAGTAGCCTAGCCAGACGCAAATCCACGCCTGCCACCAAGAGAGGCCGGCGATGATCATGGAAGACGAAATCATCCACGTGTTGATGTTGAACGAGTCGGCGATCCAAAAGGCAACAAAATTCCAAGGGCCCCATTGTCGGCGCTCCTTCTCCACGGGCTTCAGGTCATGATTGACTAGCTAGGAGGAGAGTCAGCACCGCGTCTCGTCTCGCTCGGTCTCACCCCATCACGTCTGGTGTAAGTCTCGGTTCGGCTGTGATGCTCAGAACAAGGGTGTCGCGATATCACGACGGGATGATGAGAGAGGGGATCAGGTATGAGATGAGGACGAGGAAGGAGAAGAAAACAAGGGCCGCACCATCAGTTGCGTGGTCGTCAGGCCAGGCTCGGCCTCAACAGCCAGCTTGTCAGCCAGATTTCTGAACCTCTGTCGCAACGCCATTGTTGATGGTCGGCAAGCAATGAGCCTCTCAAGCAGAAAAAAGGTTCAATTGCGAGCAAGAAGAGGGCATGAAGCGTATTTTGGATCTTTTCGATGCAAAAAGTCAGTTAATAACCAAAAAAATCGATCGACCATGTACAACACACGGTGGAATGATCGACGCACAGATGACGTGAGGAGCCAGAATTATATTTTCTTCGCGAGGGCGACGATCCACTGGCCGCTCTCTTTTGCACGCGAGTTGGGCAGCCCGATGCCACTTTGTGCGATGCGAGGCTTTGGCTTTGCGCGAGTATGTATTTGTATGTACTCGTACTCCCACGAGGATCTGCTGGGCTCGTGTGCCTTGGGGATCGGCGCAGAGTCGTCAGAGGCTTGAACTCAGCGGCAGCGGCGCAAAGGCGGGAGAGTCGAGAGGCTTTATTTGATTTCCTCTTCCGGCGAGCCACCAGCTGGACAAGGCTTGACAAACAAGATACAGAGCAGATGCGCCGATAATAAAAAAGCGGAGTGGGAGGGCGTTGAAAAGAAAGAGCTGATAGATAGTCGATCCACGCTGACGGACTCCAGGTTGGCCCTAACAACACGATTTCTCCCTATCGGCGTCGAATGCCAGACTGCTCGTAGACTTGTGGCAAAGCAGAGCAGGGACGGTGTCTGTCTTGACCCTCAGCCCATCTCCAGCCAGCCCCGGACAAGGACCGTCGGCTGCCTAGCAAACGCCCATCTCGTGGTCCCCGAAGGCGATGATACCCTGCGATTGGTGGTGACAGGTTCGACGATAAGCTAGAGCCATGGTCCGAGTGAGATAGCAAGCGGGACAGGGGTCGGCTAGTCAGAGTGTGGAGGAGGATCCGCCATCCCGCAAAAAAGAAGAAGAGAGGAGAGAATTCGATTACCCCATCTTATCGAGTCAACGGGAAACTGGGTGGGCGTGGAGGGCGATAACTGCCGAATGACTCGTTATCTGCTATCTCGGGACAGCGAGATACGCGGGAGATAAGTCGAGATAGTACATGTAATCAGACTGCAGATAGTAGCCGGACGGGCTATTTTGTGGATTTACACGTGTAGGTTCAACAATAGCGTAAGAGGCTAACATGATGGTTTCAGATTGCAAAGACAAAGCCGCGATTGTTTTCTGAATCTAATGTTGATGCATAAGCTGGACGGGAATGGATGGGGCTGGCGGTTTGTGGAGGAGGGGAATTGCCGCACAAGCCATGGAGCAGCTTGGACGTTGATGTGATTTGATGTGATGCAAGGGAGAATAGAGTCAGCCAGCCACCACATGCGAGATCTGGTCGGAAGGATTTAATGTTGATTTTTCTTTTGCTAATCTACGGACCCTGCAGCATGTGGCCGTGTGCTGTACAGAAGAATTCTAGAATGCCGAGGCACAGGAACGATGAGTTTAATGGCTTTTACTATTTCTTTCCAGTTGATTAATACCACGTTATCCAATCGACATACCAGAGCAGCGGCGTGGTGTAATTGAAGCCGTCACCCTGCACTACCAACTCTATTCATTGCCATTCTTGTGATGATGAATCTATGCGACGAAAAGATGCTCAATATTGTTATTGAACGGTTTAGCTGCAGCTACTCCTTGAACCCAGCTGTAGCTCCTTTGAATCATGATGCCCATATTCCACCTTACCAGTACACATACATGAAGCATTCAGTGCTGCTGAAATATCATTGGCAACTATTAGTAAAAGGAATTTCTTATTTGAGAACCAGCATCTATCGCCTTGCACCTTTCGAAAACTTTGACAACATAGTCTGTTTTCTCGTTGAATCTCTTTGGGGTTGTCGTATGAAGCTTCGCTTGATTACTGTTCTAGGTGATACAAAAGGAAATTCCCCGTTACCTCACAAAAAAGAATCCAATGCAGAGGAGCGGTTGAATACCAACAATGTAAATTAGTGGGAAATTATCTTTAATTCTTCAGTTTTCACACCAAATTGATACATCATAGACTCCTCTTCAGATTCTCTTCATCCATCTCTTGATACCTACCTAGTAGTAGGTAGTTCTGCACGTCGACTTACCCTGCAATCTGCAAATTCAAGCGCAGCAAAAAACAAAACTTACAGTGGTTCGTTATCGGCTTATCGCATGCCCCCCGCCGGCCAACCAGCGACGCGTTGCCAGTCACCAGCCCGCTTTTTTTGTTTTCAATCCCCCACCATCTCCCCTCGTACTACAATTTTTGGTGCAAAGCATCGCATCGCCAGGAACCGCGTTTTTGGGAACCAAACAGCGGGAAAAGAGAAGAGAGAAGAGAGAAGAGAGAAAAGGAAAAGGAAACAAGAAGCAGAGAGGTTCCCTTTCCAGCGTTTCCAGCGCCGCCATCGCCCATCATGGAGGACCAGCTGGCGCAGCTCCTGGCCAACACGCAGCTCCCCGAACAAGCACCCCGCCAAGCTGCCGAACTCGAGATCGGACGGGCTGAGTCGAATCCCGCGTTTCCCATCTCCCTCGCTCGCATCGGCGCGCACTCATCCATCGACACGAGCATTCGCCAGTCTGCCCTCAGCACGCTGCGCCTGTTCGTCGAGAAGCATTGGGCCGTGGAGGAGCTCGACGAGGAGCCCCATGTCCCCATCTCGGACGAGGCCAGGGAGCTTCTGAAGCAGACGCTGCTCGAGGTTGCCCTGAGCCCCGAGGACGACCGAAAGGTCAAGATTGCGGCCAGTTATGCCGTGGGCAAGATTGCCATTCACGACTTTCCCGAACAATGGCCTGCCCTTCTCCCCACCATTCTCAATGTCATCCCCACGGGCAACGATTCTCAGCTCCACGGAGCGTTGAGGGTGCTCAGCGACCTGGTCGACGAAAGTCTCAGCGAGGACCAGTTCTTCTCCATGGCCCAGGACATTGCCAAGGCCCTCACCGAAGTCGCGCTCAACGAGAACCGAAAGCCGATGCTGCGCGCCCTTGCCATCTCCGTCTTCCGAGGATGCTTCGACTTGATGTACATGGTCAAGGATGAAAACAAGGACGTCAAGGTCTTTGCCGAGGAGCTGCTGGGGCGATGGAACCCCTTTTTCATCGCCGTGCTCAAGGGCCGTCTACCCGAGGGCGACTCCAGCTCCGGCGCTCAGCCCGAGGCCTGGAACAGCATCATTGCTCTCAAGCTGCAGGTCGTCAAGACTCTGCTCCGCATTCGCCGAGTCTTCCCCAACCTTCTCCTTCCCCAGAGCACCACCTTCTTCACTGCCGTGTGGGAAGAGCTCAGCATCATGCAGGGCGCTTACGAGCAGCTATACATCATCGATGAGGTGCAGTCTCGACTGGAGGACTCCGACAACCTCCCATACACCCTCGATCTTCTCATCCTAGAGGAGCTTGACTTCCTTAACCAGTGCTTCCGCGCGCCCCCTGTCCAGGCCGAGCTTGACAGCCACCTCCAGGCCCACACCTCTGGCCACCAAGTCCCCTGGATGATGGATCTTATGAAGATGCTCGTTGGGTACTCTCGGGTCACTCGCGAGGAGCAAGAGCTCTGGGACTTTGACTGCTCCTTGTACTTGGCAGAGGAGACGTCGGTTACGGCTAATTACACCGCTCGCACTGCCGCTGGTGACCTACTCATCAAGCTAGGCGAGTGGTTCAATGAGAAGACGGTCGACGGCTTGTTTGGACATACAAAGAGCCTCTTCCCTGGCGAGGGCCCTTCCGCCTGGAGAAGTCAGGAGGCCGCGCTCTACCTATTCGTCATGCTTGTTAGCGACTTCCAGGATTTGAACAAGCCCATCCCCGACGTCGTTGCAAGCGCTTATCTGGAGCTTGTCGACTTTTCCATTTCCCAAGCCAAGCAGCCGCTGCTGCGCGCTCGAGGTTATCTGGTGGGTGGCATCATTGGTCGCTCGCACCAGACTCCGCCCAACCTCGTTGATGCCATTGTCCATTCCATCACAAATGAAGAGTCTGAGGTTGTGCAGGTTGCGTGTATCAAGGCCATTGAAGGCCTCGTCAGCTCAGGACGTGTTGCCCATGACCGCCAGACCCCCATCATCGCCTCTATCCAGTCTTACATGAACAGCAAGGACCCCGAGGAAATGGAGGAGGCTGACGAGCTCCTCGTCACCCTGACCGAGGCTCTCAGAGCCGCCATCGGAATGGACAGCCAAATTGTCATTACCAGCGAAATCCCGTCGGTGGATCTTCTCTTCTTGCTGGCCAAGCTTGGAGCCAGCAACTTCCAGGTTACGATGCTTGTGACAGAGGCATTTGAAGACATTGTCACCAGTCTCTCGGACGCCGCTTCATATGGCGCTCTGTGCGCGCGCATCTTGCCAACATTGACTGGCGCCTTTGACGTGGCCAACCTTACAGAGGACAACCCTCTTGTTACGGTGAGTTGACGACAACCTCCTTCAACACGAATCGAAAGCACTTGCTGACAATGACTTGACATAGGTTGCGACTGAGTTGCTCGGTGTTTTGACAGAGCATGGCTCCGAGCCCCTGCCGGATGGCTTCGTAGCTGCCACACTCCCCAAGCTGAACCGCCTGCTCATGGAGTCTGGAGAGGGCGACGTTTTGCGACCTGGGTCCGAAGCAGTCAAGTGGATTCTGGTTCACGACCACCAGCAAGTCTTTAACTGGCACGATTCCAACGGCCGATCCGGGTTGGAAGTCTGCCTGCACATCATTGACCGACTCCTGGGTCCCTCCATCGAGGACAATGCCGCCTCCGAGGTGGGAGGACTCGCTGCCGAACTTGTCGAGAAGGCTGGACAAGAGCGCCTGGGACCATTCCTGCCCCAGCTCCTGCAGGCCGTTGCCAACCGACTTGCCACTGCTCAAGCCGCCGCTTTCATCCAGTCCCTTATCCTCGTCTTTGCCCGACTGTCCCTGGGCGGTGCGCAGGATGTTGTAGAGTTCCTGAGCCAGATTCAGATTAATGGTGAGAGTGGGCTCCAGGTTGTCCTGTCCAAGTGGCTGGAAAACTCTGTTAGCTTTGCCGGATATGACGAGATTAGACAAAAGTCGGTTGAAAAAACCTTGGAGCGAGCCCCCCTGGTTTGGGCAGGACAGATTTGCTAACGTGTTTGTAGTGTGATTGCTTTGTCAAAGCTCTACTCGCTCAACGACACGCGAGTAGCACAAACGTCGGTCAAGGGCGATTTGATCGTTGGCGCCGACGACGGGATGATCAAGACCCGATCTCGCGCCAAGAAGAGTATGTCCCGCGGTGCCTTCACCATTTCCAGTACAGACGTCATGCTAGACCGACTGTATCACCAATACTTCAAAGAAGATATCAAGACTAATTCACCAACCCAACGAATAGACCCCGACAAATACACTATTATTCCCGCCACACTCAAGATCGTCAAGGTCTTGATCGAGGAGCTCCTCTCTGCTTCTGGTGCTCGCGCTGCCGCTAGTGCTGCGTCTGCCGCCGTTGCCAGCGCGGAATTCGACGATGAAGACAATGACGACGAGGGATGGGAGGATGACGACGACACCCTTGACCTCTCCCTGGGCGCAACCAAGGCGGAGCTCATGGCGTTTGGCATGGACTCGAGCTCACGACAGCGTGATGACGAGACGCAGCAGTATCTGACCGAGTTCTTCATCCGCTGCGGCCGAGAGAATGTAGCCAACTTTCAGGAATGGTACAATTTGCTGACGGACGACGAGAAGGCCAAGCTGAACGAGGTGGCTGCTGCTTCGGGCTAAAACGATGCTCGTCGTTTGGGAAGCGAATCCTGCTCGAGGGAAAATTCTCTCTCTCTCTCTCTCTCTCTTTTTTTTTGCCCTGATATGAAGTGAAAATAGGCGAGGGAATTCGGCACCTGTCTTGGATGGAAAACAGAAATTCACTTTGATGACAGCGGAGAGAGACTGCGATTTGAAAATAACAAAAAACTCAAAAGGAAAATGAGAAAAAAAAAAAAAAAGGCAAAGATGACGATTGATATGAAACAAAACGTTACGATGGCAAGAGGCAGTATGTGATAGATACCTTTGATAGTATAGAAAGCAAATAAGAACACGTGCAAGAGAAACAAGGCGCTTTGTATCAATTACCAGCGGTTTAAACGTCTGATTCAACCAATTGGCGTGAATTGTTTAGTGATGGCCGTATTTGTTTTTTAGTTTCATATGTTATTTAGGAGATGGGACATATTGCCTCGTATACTCGTCATATGGAAATGCTCACTGTCGTACTTTGATACAGCAGTCTCATCGTATAATACATTCAACGAGCGATAATTACTGACCATCTCTGCGCTACACCACACAAACTATGTAATACCGTAGATGTCGTAACAAGTACAATGAACGAATACTACTCATTGACCACCGCTCAATTCATTTCCCCCATCGTGCGCTGTCTTAGATAAAATCACCCGAACCATAACCTCCCGAACCAGAACCAAAGCCTCCTGGACCAGGACCAAAGCCTCCGTTGTTGCCGCCTCTTCTCCCAGGAAATGAAGACCTCTGCTCCGAGGGGTACATCGGCACATCGCTGGGATCGACCGGATCGTACCTAGCTCCCGGTGGCCTTTGGGAGTTGTATCCTTGGGCATAGTATTGGCCTCCATAGCCACCCTGTCCCGTAAACAGCGGATCGCCAAAGGTGGGATGCATGCCTGAAAAGCCGCCGGTCGGAGGCGAAGCCAGAGGTCTCAACGATGGCCTGAGCGGATCGTGGGGGCCAAGTCTGGGGGGGTTGAGATCGTCATGTCCTATGTTGAAGAGAGGAGGCGCCTGTGACCCCGCCATATTTCGTGGCGAAGCGTGGATTTCGTGCTCATCCTCGAAACCAGGAGGGGGGAAATCACCAGGTATGGGACGCCGAGGAGCGCCATTATTGGGCAGCAGATCGGGATGCGGATAGGGGTGTGGCGGCTGTTGTGGTCGGAATGGCTGTGATGCCTGTGGAATCGCACCAGGGCGGTCAGGAGTCGTAGAGCTGGGATATGGAGGAAGTCCGTATCCGCGGTCTTCCGGGCGGATACGTTGCGATGCGATGCCCTCTTGCGTGCTTCGTTCATTTGCACCAAGGATCTTATTTCCCGAGCCATCCTGTGACTCGACGTAGCCCTCCTTCTGAAGCTTTGGGATCAACTTTTGCACGAGATCGACCCTCAAGTCCCGAATTATGTTCTGGATAATTTCGAGCGAGTCAAATAGAGACGTCAGCATCCCCGCGAGATGGCTTCGGTCTTCCTGTCCCTGGCCGTCGGGGGGAATGCGAAAGGGCAGGTTGTTAGCCCTGACGACCTTTCGGGTCTCATATTCGACCCGGTAGATCTTCTCGTCGCCGACAGCGAGAGCCCGGATCTCGACCTTGGCGCCCATGCGGTCGACGCGCAAGACAAAGGTCATGGCCGACTGTTTGTGCCTGTACACAAAGGAAAGAGCGCCGAATCCATTATTCCAGTACGGGGGGAGACGAGGCGCCAGAGTCTGGCATTCCTCTGTGTATGAGAGAGATGGTGTCAGTCATTCAGCTTTGTTGCATGACATAACAGGGTACATGCAATGAGAATGAGGGCGGCAAACATACCCAGCAACTTGTCTTCGTTAAAGCCGTACAGCCGAAAGTCGAGGGAGACAAAGTACGCATGTGCGAGAAGCGCTACGACTTCGTAGGAACTTGCGATGTCGGACGATTCGTCGTTTGGCTGATGCGTGGGCAGAGCATCGGCCATGGCCTGGAGCACCGAGTCTATGCTGACCGGCGTCTGCCGTGGTTCCGCCATGGTGAGAGTCTTGGAGATGAAGATGCAAAGTTGATGCGATGGTGATGAAGACTGTGAAAGTGGTGATGATATGGTACGGAGTTGTCGATGTGTTGTGCTATTGGATGGGATGTTGTTCAAGTCAAAGTTGCACGTTGGAGGCGTCATTGCCACTGCTGCCTTTATGCCCCGGGGAGGCTCAGCCCTACGGCACTCTAGCTCCAGCGAGCTCCAGCGAGCTTCAGTGGATCGCGGTATCCGCCAGGTAGCGATTACTTGGTACGGCAAGCCGCAGCATCTGAACAATTGGTACTGAATACATCCAAGAACTTGGAAGACAGCTACTGTATGACGAAATGGAGGCCCATCATCAACACCCATCAAATCGTTCCATCCAAGTCAATCACATGACACCCCAACACTTCACAACTCCCCTCCATCCAAACCACCAAAAACCAACCATCACAACCCAAATGTCAGCCTCACCTCCCCATCCACCTCCCCAAGCCTCTTCCCACTCCCTCCCCCCGCACGCCGCAAACCCCCTCCTCTCCTCCTTCACATCCTTCCTCACCATCGCCCTCCACTCCCTCCTCTACCACCGCCATCTCTACCCCCCGACATCCTTCCTCGCAACCCGCGCCTACAACCTCCCCGTCCACCAATCCCGCCACCCCGGTCTCTGCGCCTGGATCTCCGACGCCGTCGCCGCCATCGCCGCCCAACTCCGCGCCGGCTCCGTCCGCCGCATCGTCCTCGCCGTGCACTCTCACTCTCACTCTCACTCTCCCCCGACGTCCGTCGTGCGCGAGAGATGGGTCTTTGACGTGCATCGTTTCCCCGCATGGGGCACCGCCGCCGCCGAAACAGACGCGCCGACTTCCCACCAGGAGCAGCAACAAGAAGATGTCGACGAAGCCGTGCCGGAAGATGCGGATGACGTTGCCGCCGCCGAGAAGCTCAACTGGGCTGACATCCACGAGGCGCTGAGGGCCGCCCTGCAGAGACTCGCGTACGCGGCGCAAGGAGCGCCCAAGTTGCCGCCCGGATGCACATTCACGCTCGCCCTGGAGCTGAGAGACGAGGCCGAGGCTCCCATCGGTGTAAGCAGAACCTTGAAGAGAAACGAGAAGCTGCCCAAGCAAGAATCAGCTGACACCACGCCTCAGTATCCCCAACCGTGGATCCCTTCTGAAGGCCCTCTGCAACCTCCCACCGCAGAGAAACCACATCAAGGCGAATCCCTACGAGGAGCCGCCACGGAACCCGTTCGCTCAGTAAGAGCAGATCCCCTATTCTTCGAGTGCTGGCTCGAACAAGGTCCCCAGATGCCGGGGCTGTAAGTTCCAACAGTGGCATTGTGACGAATACATCATCGGAAAAGATATCACAATGAAAAAAAAAAAAAAAGAAATAGAGTAAAAATTAATGTAATCCGTCTTGCTTCGTCATAACATTCTTCTTTTTGCTATGATCATTCCGTATTCTCTCCTCTCGACCCTTTCATGTCAAAAAAAAAAAAAAAATTAAAAAAATAAAAATTAAAAAACAACCCCATTTTAAAACACACAATCCCCTTTGGGGCCATGAAGAAAACAGAAAAAAAAAAAAAAAAAACAAGAAAAAAAGATTGAGAAAATCCCTCCCCCCAAATTTCATAAAAGACAGAACCCCCTCGCCCAAGACTCCCCTATTTCGCATGCTTTGAAACCCTCCCAGCCGACATCCCCCCTTTAATACTCCAGAGAGAGAGAGCCCTTGTTTCTGCGGAATAAGTAGTATACAGCAGTTTTTCTCTTCATTTTTTTTGTACCATCATCGCCTGCGTCTATTAAAAAAAAAGAAGATTTTTGAAAAAAAAAAAGGTGAGAAAGAGAAGAATAAAAAACGGGCCGACATTACCACATGCCATCATCATAAAAAGTCAAAAAAGAAAGCATCAAATCAAAAATCCTCTCCAAACAAAGAGGAAGGAAAAAAAAACGAATAGAATCTCCTCATTATCGCCGTTATCAAGCATCATTAGGGAGGCACATCGCCCCCCCTTATTCCGTCGTCCCCTTGAGCGCTGCCCGCAGGCTAATCATTTCGCGCTTCAGTCGCGCATTCTCCTTTTTCATCTTGGCAAGTTCTTCTCCTTGCGTCTTGAGCTTGACAATCAGCTCTTCTTTATCTTCTTTGCCCTTGCCCTTGAGCGCCTTGACAATCTTGCCGAGCTCGGTATTGAACCGCTCGTATAGCAGCTCGTTTTCGGCCACGGCTTCCTTGTGTAGTTGGTCAATGGACCGCATCTTGGACTCGGTTGTCTTGAGAGTGATTTCCACGTCCCGCTGGAGCTCGTCCTGTCTATCACGCAGCTCTTGCATCACACCGGGCATCCTGTCCTCGAGCGAGGCTACCGATGAAGCCAATAGCTGAATGCTGGCTGCTTCAGAATCAGTCAAGCTGTCATTGTTCACTCGCGCCATTTCCTCGCCAATCTTGAACAGCTCCGACTGCAGCATGGCATCTGCTTCTCCCACGGCCGTCTTCTCCGTCTGCAGTCGCTCCCGCAGCTTTTGCGGAGACTGCAGCCGGAGCTTCTGGGCGGGGGTTCGCGTCGGGCTGATCGTCACTCGGACCGGGGTTTCGCCAGACGAGCTTCCGGGCCGGATGGGCTTCGGCGGCAGCAATGTGGGAATGTTGGACGTCGACAGCGTTTTGGTGTGCGTCGGCTTCGGCCTCCTGTAAGGGGGCGGATCCTGTCTGGTTGGCGAATTTCCACGCATTGCCTGTTCCAGCTTGGCCTGAATCTCCTTGATTGGCGAGCCTCCTCTGATCCGGACGCTGCCGTAAATGTCCACCGCGCCCAAGTTTTCCTTTTGCCGAGGGGATTTGAGCAGTGACGAGTCGGGGCTCAGGGGGGTCCTCGAGGCGGGGATCACATTGGGGCTGCCGTTGACCTTTTCCGACGTGGTCTGCAGGACCTGCAGCGCATCTTCCCTCTCCTCCGCCTCCCTCTCCTCCTGAATGCTCTCAGTCTCCAACAGCGACGGGAGATCCGACAGGGAGCTTCTCCTCTTGTTATGTCTCCTTGGTGACCCGGGAGTTGGCGGCTCGGAGACGGGCTCCCCAATCGTGTCGAGCGGGTACTCTGCACGATGCGCGCTGGGCGGTCTGTTGAGCTCCTCAAAGGCACTAGCTACGTGAGGCCTGTCTCCGGATCCCGGCCTGCCCAGCGTAAATCTCTTTGTAATGTTGTTGTCGTCTATCGACCGCTGACGTAGAGCCTGCTGCATCGTCGCCCTAGACATGCTCTGGCTCTCGCCCGACGCCGAATTCCGGTGCTTGCCGAGACTTCTCCAGACAGAGTTGCGCTCCTCCTTGGAGTTTGAGTTTTGCCGGAGCAGCATGTCCAGCCCGAATTTGCGGCGCAGAGACGACGTGTTGGAGGTCACGGATCCCTGGTGAGACTTGTTGCCGCTGCCGAGGCCGGGGCCGCCGTTGGCGCGTGCCTGGAACGACTCGATCAGAGCCAAGTCGGCCAAACTAAAGCCAGCATACATGGGCTCGCCAAATATCCTGTCGCAGTCGTCCACCAGTCGGTCCAGCAGGTTGATGTAATTCGCCGCCGTGCCATCGGTGACCAGCATCTCCGAAAACGCCAAGGTCAGCGCACCACGGTCGCTATCGTTGCTGCAGCCGTCCAAGAGATCGGCCAGCAGCTTGATGAGTGCCGTGAACGCCCTCCGGTTTTGCGGAGCCAGTTCCTTGAACAAGAAGTTGACAAAGTCGGCAAACTCGCCGGGGACTCTCTTGTTGGCTCGCTCCTGCAGAGTGTCGAGCATCTTGATCGTCGTCACAGGCCCAATCTGTTCGGCCCAGGCAATATGGAGAAAGTTCTCGAAAGCGGTAAAGACAACTTCGGTCCCGACGTCGTTGGCCACCTCCACCTCTGACGGATTCTCAATGAGTCGATTGTACAAGTCGTTCACTAGCAGCTCATCGGCCATGGAGCGGTGCATCAATGTCCTGCCGTGAATAGAGCCCTTGCGATATTGAAGAGCCGTCGTGAACGCCTCAAACGTCTGCTCTAGCCGAACAAGAGGATTTTCCGGCATGACCTCTTCCAGCGGCCGGCGCGAGTTGTCCCTGCCCCTGATGGAACCATACACGGAGTGGTGGCTGTCAGCTCGTTGGATGGAGGGCTGGTGCTGGTGCTTGATTTCGGAGAGAGTCGTCTCGGAGGCGTTGTTGGAACCGCCGCTCCATAAGCTGGTAAATAGCTTGACGGGGGACGCTGCCAGGAAGGAGCGCGTCTTTTCTGCACGATTGAATAGACACAGAGTCCTTAGCGTTTTGGAATTGTAAGAGACCATGGGGGCCGTGAGATGTCGGTTGGAAACGTTGAACTGGGCGCTCAAGAGCTGCATTACTAGACGGGGGGTTAGCTTTCAAGAAAAGAGACGAAACAAAAAGAAGAGGAAAGAAAAAAAAAACTCACTTCGTCTTGACATGGTTGGAAGGAAATCTTCCAGAGCCACGTCGTCTTGGTACTGCTTCCCATTGAGGCCCACGGTGAGCAGGGAGATCCTCTTCATGTTCTTGCTCGCCACGTTGATGACAATCTCGATGCCATAATGGCCGACGGGAGCTCCCTTGGTTCCCTTCTCGTGGTCCACCACGACGCGGATAAAAGCGGGCTCGCGCCGGCCCTCGACGAGCTGATCGGCGCCCTCCTGGTATATCGCGGCGTGCAGGCCCAAGTTGTTCTCGGGCATCCGGACCGAGCGCAGAGTCCAGCGAGGGTCTTCCCTCTCTGTCTCGGAAAACCGCGCCTCGATCCTTGCCTTGACGACGTCTTCGCTCCACTTTGCGGCTTTGCCCTCGAAGGCTTCCTGCAGCAAGAAGCACCGCGACGTGATGGCCTTGGGGACCTTGTGCTCGCCGGGGTGCATGCCCTTCATCTCCGCGCTCGACGTCATCCAGACGAGGTGACCGTCGGCGGATTCCGTGAAGCGAACGTCGGCAAGGTGATGCCATCCGGTAAAGATGAACTCGTACACGCCCGGGCCACCGGCGGCGTTGGTCATGGAGATGAGCAGCTCCGCGGCCGAGGGCTTGTCAATCTCACGCAGCAGATCGCGGCCCGTCATGTTGTTGTCGCCCGACTTCCTCAGCATGACGATGTAGTCGGAGAACAAGAGGAAGATGCCCGCGTCGTCGGAGTCGACGGTGGCCTGGTACGGCGGTGAGAGCTCCAAAAAGTCGGCGGCCAGGATGAGGCGGCCCTGGGGCTCGAGGTCGGCGGGCCACGCCTCCACCATGTTTCGAAGTCGGTTGGCGACGTGAGGCTTGTCGGGAAGGGGGTCGTCCATGGAGCAGATGTTGGTGATGATGTCTCGCGCCTTGAGCATGGGCTGCAGTGCCGGGTGCGTGATGGGCAGCGAGGCGATGATCTGGTCGATCAAAAGGCTGTAGCGCGGCAGCCTCTGGACGGGCTCAATGAGGAGCGAGCGAATGGTCTGCTCGCCCGCCTGGCTCACTCGCTGCCGGAAACTCGACTGCTGGTCCAGGAAGGAATTCAGCAGCGTCGGGAAGTGCTGGCTGGCCTTGATGTAGTCTTGGTAGCACTGGGTAAACTTGGGGAACCACTCGAGGAACAGCTTGGCCATGGCCAGGGCACCAAGCGGATCCTTGACCCGCGTGGGATTGTTGGGGGCCTTTGTTGACGAGAGGGTCATGGTGGGGATTTCCATGTCCTTGACGGCGTCCTCTTCCGTCTCGTCCATGATCTTGCGCAGCTCCTCGACAAAGGCCGAGTTGACCTGGAGGATGCCGTCTGACGACTTGGGGAACAGCTTCTCCAGCTCCTCCTCGGACGGACTCAGACTCTCGACGGGCCGGGTTTTTGACTTGTTCCTAAAGTCGTTGGCCACCGTCTTGACCAGCTCCTGCACCTTGAGGACGTAGCGCTCCTCGGTGTCGACGAGCTCGCCCATCTTCATGCGCAGCTCAATCTTTTGGTCCTTGGTAAAGGTCTTGTTGCGGTTCAGCGGCGTGGGCTTGGAGGGCGCGCGGCGCAGCTTGCTGGTGGGCAGGAAGACGGGCTCGCCAAACAGCTTGACCAGCGGTGTGTACATGCCGTACTGGCGCAGCGTCGGGTCGATGATGTCGTCTTCGTCGTCGGGCATTTCCTCGAGCTCCGATGGCTGGGGCGGCACTATGGACCCCGGCGGCAGGAGCAGGTCCATGTCGACGTTGCTTATGTGCTGCGTCTGCAGGGCCTCGTCCAGCGTGGCAACGACGTCGACGGTGTTCTCGCTCTTGACCATCTCCTTGACCAGGTCGGCGGCGTGCTGCTCGCTGAAGAGGGCCGGGGCGCTGCCGGGGCGCTTCCCCTTGGGCGGGTAGACGGCCTTGAGGTGGTTCTTTACATTTTCGGGCAGCTCCTTGAAGTAGCGGAACAGGCCGAACGCCAGGCCACGGTAGACCTCGTCGCCCTGGAACTCACGCGGCAGGTGGTTGACGACGCTGTAGAAGGGCGAGCTGGGGGAGATTGTGATGCGCGGGAAGGACTGGAAGCCGGCGGGGGTGAAGACGTGGACCTGGACGCGGGAGCTGTTGAGGGTGTAGTTGGCCGTGGTCGAGGGCCCGTGGAAGATGAGGACGGGCAGCTGGCCCAGCAGAGGGTCGGGGGCGTGGTAGAGAGCAACGTGCTCGGGCGAGAGCGCCAGCTCGTCCGTAACCCGCACCATGGTGGTTGTGTGTGGTCAAAGGGCGGCGCTCATAGCCCGACGGGAGGGACTGTACGAGAGGTAGAGATGAGATGGTTCGGGGGTGTGTTTGCGTGTCTTGTCTTGTCTTGTGGTTGTTTCGTGGGTTTTGGTTTTTTGTCGGTGTCTGTCTCGTCACCAGCTGGCGAACCCGCGGCGTGTTGGTTTGTTTCTCGCGAGAATTCGTTGTTTGTTCGCCTCGACAAGGTCACGGCCTGCTCGCTTCGGAATCGCTTCTCTTCGTCAGGAGCTGGAACTGGAACTGGAACTGGAACTGGGACAAGCAGCAGAAAATCGAGTGATGCGGGATGGAGAATGCGGGATGAAGATCTGTGTCCAGAAACAACGGCCCGGAAAGAGTCAAGGCTGGGAGGGGTGACATGGGCGGCCAGGGGTGGGCCCAGGCTATTTGTTTAGGTCCCGTCACCAAGTAAACATGCTAAAGCCGCCGGTGGCTTGACTCCGGGACTGAGTTAAATTGACGTCGAAAAAATTAATTTGGATGCGAATCTCAAAAATCGCCTTGGTTGTCCACAGGCTCGGGCTCGGGATCTGCAGATGGCTGGCGCCTCCGGGGTTGGTTGCCGTGGAAGCGGACGTTTTGAGTTCTGGAGAATTGAGTTTTGGCAGAATGATGCTGTAAGAGCAAAACTGTAAGAGAGAGAGAGAGTAAACATTAAAACAACATTAAAGGTAAAAAAAATAAAAAAAATAAAAATAAAATAAAAAGGTAAAAAGACAAGATCAAAAAAGGCAAAGGCGAAAATAAAAAGTTCAGGTTCCAGAAGCGAGCTGCTCCGTGCCCCTAGCAGATACGCAATATGTGCTTAAACGAGGAAATAAGATGAATGTGGGCAACTGGCCGGAATCTTGCGAAATCACGGAAGCCTGTCAAGGGGCCTTGTCCAGCGCGGCGTTGACAATTGTTAGTACGAGTACAGCTGGCGTACAGGTACTTACTCGCAGCCAAGGGCATAATCGTAAGATGAAGAGCAAGTAATGCTGCACTAGACGGGGTGAGAAGTGGTGAGAAAGAGACCGTGGAAGACATGAAGGACCAATTGATCCCTGGCACGCTCGAAAATAGACACCGCTCTCGGAACATTTGCAGGCAGCTGGAATGGAAGATTGCCGTCCCACGTCCCTGAGCCCCCAGCAACCCAATCCCCGCTGTTTTATAATGAGACAGGCCCTGTGAAACGGCGCAGCTCCCCCTAAGACCCCGCTGGAGACGCCCGTGCTGGTGAGATTGGAGGGGACCTGGAGCTATCGAAAGCTGCCCGGGAAGCTCAGCTTAGTACCTGGTTGAGAGCCTCCATCTCCATGGCCTGGCGCGTAGAACTCGTCAAGTACCTTGCGAGTACCGCTGTCCCCCTTCCCATGGAACCCCGCCAGTTGGTGACCCAGGCGCTGGCGATTCTTTAGCGCACAATGCGGGTGTACAACGAGGTACGAGTACAGCAGCTGCTCAGCCCATGACGTCGTGTCATTGGCTACAGCCACCGCCGTACCTCGAGGAACCAGCAGCTTTTCTTCCAATGTTTTTCTTCTCTTCATCACCAACTCCATCCATTTTCAGCCTCATCTCACTCCTCATCCACTATACAAACAATTCACCTTCTCACTCTCTCACTCAATTACTTACATACACATTCAACCACCACCATCCCAAACAATTCAATCAAAACCCATCGGCCCACGGAAATTTTAAAACCCCTCGCACCTCATTCTATTAGCCCCCATCTCACTCAACCCCCCCAACCCCCTACCTCTCTCGTAATCAATCATATCGGCGACATTCATAATCAATCAACCATCACCCGCGCTCCACAGCACCGTCCGTCACAGAACAGAAAACACAAATCGAAAACAATGTCCAGCTCCTCCCAGGCCACCCAGAAAATCCCCCTCCACCACCGCCCAGACGACACCGGCTACCGCCTCATCGAGCTTCCCCCCGAACTGGAAAGCCTTCTCGAATCAGAAAATGCTCCCGTGTCAGTCATCTCATCCCCTTCTTCTACTTCTCTCTCTCTCTCTCTCTCTCTCTCTTCCTCTTTAACCCATGTACATACATACATACTCATCGATATCTCTCTCCATCCAGCCTCACTCTAGAATCCTCCCCAACATCAGCCCTCCTCAAAACCCCCGACAAGACATACTCCCTCCGCCAGAAAAACACCTCAAACTCCGTCATCCTCCTCTCCCCCACGTCAACGTCAACGTCACCTCCAGACCAAGCCATCGCCGCCATCTCCACCATCCGCGAAACCGTCGAGCTGGAACCAGCACCTCAAGCTGCCGCTACCGGCGCTTCTTCTTCAGGTGGCGGCCCGCTCAAGAACACGGGCAGCAGGGGTAAATGGCACGAAATGTTTGGTAAAGGACGATAGGTGAAATGGCTAAATGCAATCAATTTGCCAAAGCATTCTTCTATATTTGAGCCGCATGGCACTTTCGAGGCAAGCTACTCAGTCATCTTCAACTATCAACAAGCATACCCCGAGGTAAAGCATTCTCGCGTTCAGACTTTGTTGTGCCAAGTGTGATCAAAGGAAGCTTCTTATCCTCAACCATCACTACGACTTTTCGCGATGTCTTGCTTATTGCGCATTCCATTGAGTCACTAGCAGCCTTACCTGTTCCGAGATACCCTCATCAGAAGGCCTACAGTATTGCCATCTCATATCAAGCAGAATTCCGTCAAAATGATATTCGACCAGCCCTTTATCAAACCAACGCTCACCACTTTCATTTGACATTCTACGCTATTATCAACATAACATTTATTCCTTAGAATTTCATCATCTGTGGTGCTGACCACGATTCCAACCGCCCTGCCCGGGATCCCGCAGTCCCCAATCGCACCCTTGGAGTTTCTATTGCCCATGGTTATGATGCTGTCCCCAATCGCCCTCCTCGGCAATGGCGGGCGGCATACCGAGCCCATGCTCAGCCGGGCCCTGCTGCTGTGTTTGCAAGTTGGGGAAATGCCCCTGTGCTTGATGCTGCGCAAGTGCGTGCTGCCGTGCATCCAGCTGCGAAAGGTGTCTGAGCGTTTCGTGGTGTGAATTAAGCAACACTTGCTCCAGTGCATCCCACGGCGATGACCGTACCTGCTGCCGGATCGTCTGTCGAAATGCTGCCATCTGTATCTGCTCCAGCGTCTGAGGCTGCTCTTGTGCCCGCCGCTGTTGACGCTGCTGTGCCTCTTGCCGTGCCATCCGCTGTGCCGTTTGCAATGCCCTCTGTTGCTCTTGCTGATGAAACCGAGCCTGAGCCCTCACCAGTAGTTGCAGTTGTTCCTGTCGCCGTGCTTGCATCAAGGTGTGGTGCTGCAGCTGCGCTGTTCCCGCGTACCTCTGCTGTGCCTGCCCTTGTGCTTGCATGAGCTGGAGTTGTTGTGCCTGCAGCTGTGCGTGGTGATGTGCGCGCATCTGCTGGAGATTCGCCTGTTCAATCTGCTCTATCCACTGCCCCGGCATGACTTGCTCTTGCTGCAGGGCCAGCAATTGCTGAGCAGTGGCTTGTTGCTGTTGCTGTTGCTGTTGCTGTTGCTGTTGCTGTTGCTGTTGCTGTTGAGTATTGGCCTGCTGCTGTTGGGCTTGCTGCTGCTGCTGCTGCTGCTGCTGTTGCTGGTATTGAGCGTTGATTTGCTGCTGAGCAATAACCTGTTGCTGTTGCCCCCGGAGCCACGGCGGAATCACAGTCTGATTGTTTGCATCAAAGGAAAAGACGAATTGGGGCCGCTGCTGTGTCAAATCGTTGGCGGGTTGAGCTGGAATCGGGTTCGCGACTCCGTTGGGGAGGGGATTGGGAACGGCGAGATGCGGTCGAGGTGCTCGGGGAATCTCAGGGTTCCTGGCAACCGCATCTTCATTCGCTTCTCTTTTTTGACGCTTGTTGGGATTTTCATCCCCATCATCTGACGATCCATACTCTGAATCGTCTTGCGCTGCTTCTGATGAATCTGCCCCTGAATCATAGTCGTCGCCATCTTGTGATTCTTCTTGGGAGTCTTCTTGGGAGTCTTCTTGGGAGTCTTCTTGAAAGCCATCTTGAGAGCCATCTTGGGATTCATCTTGGGAACCCCCGTCATCATCTTGGGCATCTTCTTGGACACCACCTTGGGCACCAGCTGGCGGTGCGTCCTCTGGTATGTTCTGTAGCCCGTTCGGTGGCAACTGGCGTGGTCTAACTCGCATTGCGTTTTGTTCAAACATTCTCAATATCGGCGCACGGCGCCTCTTATTGGAAGTCGGAGCCGGTGCTGGAGCCGGTGCTCTCCGTATCTGCAGATACTGAGCGTCAACCTCTGGATGTTCGTCCACTAATCGTTGGCGCGTTTCCTTCTCGGCAGTATCAACTTCTCGGGCGTAACGATGCTCGGTATTATCGTACAGGGGGCATCCCTTCGCTTCGACTTGTGTTTTTGGTTGGTTTTCCTTGAAATGGGTATAATCGCAATTCTTGGAGCATACGTCGCATTGAATATTGCCGCAGCGTGTGCAAGACACCTTGTTGCACCCGAGAATCTTGATAAACGGCGTGTTACCTATACAAGTACAAGGTTAGCTATCCAAGGCGGAAAGACGAGTAAAACGCCTTACACTTGTTGCATTTTCGAATCAAGGCCGCAGACATGGCCTCTTCTATCTCATGTCGCACTGAGAAGCCTGTCTTCTCGAGGGCTTCCTCGCACGACAGCGGCACGTGTGATTCGCCTCTGCAAAGTCTACAGCTCACGACCAGGCAATCTGGATTCTGACAAGGGAACTCTCTATTCTCCTTCTCGGAGACACATATTGCAGCGAACGAGCAAAATGGACACTGCACAAGTCCCTCGATGTTTGCGGCTCGTAGCACGGCATCCTGCTCAATACGTTCGAGGGCAGTGACCAGGCCTTTGTCGAGAAATTTTCCACGCTCTGTGAGTGAAAACGGCGCCGAGCAACTTCCTCCCAGAGACAAGCACGTTATCTGGTATCGAGACTGTCCAACCATTTCTTCTGCCTGCTTGCGAGGACATTGTTTACAGAAGAGCTGGAGATGTTAGTTGATTGCGTCTCGGCACTCTGTGTAGGCACTTACATGATGGGGCTCGGCACTGCAGCTGACCATTCGATTCAATGGGAAGTTTGCAAAGCAACATTCGCATTCCCGCAAAAGCCCATGCTCCTTCGCATACTCGAAATTCTTTCTCTCGGCTTCTTTGAATCTTTGGCCCACTTTCAGATATTCCTGAAGAACATAGTAGCGTCGAGACGCATGCAATTCTGCTTGTATTGAATCATCTGCATCATCGGGTATATTGTTGTATGCGGCGTGCGGTGGCATGCCAATTATTTCTCGCACACGATCAATGACCTCCTGTTCTCCAGGTGTTGCCGTGCTCTGGAGGGCTAGATAGGTCAGGAACAAATTGTTTCTGTTCTCTGTCATGGTCTCGGAAATGACGTTGAGCGGATGATGGGGAAATTCTTCTCGTAGCAATTGACACCTAAGGAGCCAGTTAGAAGTCTGCCCGACGGCATGTACAACGTGTCGAGTATAGCTCACATTTTGCTCATGTCCTCTTCTGTTGGTGCTTCCCTCGTGTCGTCGTCATATTTGCGCCTGATGTCCCTCATATCTTGCATCATGTCCCTCGGTTCGCCAGGTTTCCGCTCAACATCTTTCTTTTTCTTTCGTCTTGGGTATTTGATACCCAAGAGCTCTTGCTCAACAATTTCCGCAGCTATGTCATTAGCACAATAATACCATTTTTCTGCCACCTTTTCCAAGTACTCGAGGCAAATGTCTTGGAAAATCGTCATGAGCCTCTGCAGGCAGACATTCTTGGCTTCCCGATCGGGGGGCTTGGAATCCATGCTGCCAGAAGGAAACTCATCCATTGAATTCTAGGCAGCAGCTCGGAGACTGTTATGCTAGAGAAGGGAAGCAGTTTCGTCTATAAGGGCTGTTTGTTAGACACTTTTCCCCATCTCGACAGGCCAGTTGTAGTTAGAGGGCAATGATAATATGGCCAGTGGACACGTTTTGTTTACTTGATATCTCAAAGTGGGAGGAGCACCACACTGTAGGTCCCCATCGGCTATTCGCAAATAGAGCGTAGGGAGGCTGAAAGGAAGTATATGACGGGTTTATTGATGTTTATCAGTGTCATGTGGCCATGTTTCGATGTCCAAGATGTAATATCAAGGAAGTGAATTTGAGTTGATAGGCCGGACACCCCTCGGAAAGATTGGAGGCAGTGTATACATTTCCACAGAAGCGCCAGTCACCAGGAGAGAGAAGAAATAGTAAATAGAATAAGAAAAAGTAGGAGAAGAAGATGATGATGATGATAACTTTCCCATGGGGCCGAGCAGTGAAGAACGATGAAGAGAGGCAACAACTCACCAAGGATTAAAAAGATGTCATTAGAAGCACAAGGTGAAATAGGCCAACCGGTAGAAAGAAGGTGTTGGGCGAGGAACAATAGTCAAGTGCGACGCCCAGAGTATTTGTAGCTTATACAAAGAAATCAAATGTCAAAGAGTGCTGTCAGGACACCAAGCAGGATGTACGTGCTGGGTATGTCTGTTGTGGAGATGAATATGTAGGCTGGCAGCGCTGGTTGAGTAAGACAAAGGCCTTCCTCGTCAGGTGTACAAAGGATGGCTGCCCAACGACAAACGCATCGCTGTACAGTACAATTATATCGATGGCGCCCGCGAGACCAGCGCTCAAGGAATGTGAAGATCAATGCTGGAACCGGAGCTCCCGACGATCATCCACGGAATATAGAATCACTGGCGTCGGTTGCTATTCCGGCTGCTCTCTTCGCACCTACTAAGAAAAGCACAGTAGCACCGGCACTTGGAGTCGCTCCACTCCAATCCTAGCTGTGGCGAGTCCACCAGTGCCGTATCTTGGGCACGAACGTAGAAGAGAATAAGAGGAATAAAAATAATCCAGGCCGTAACGATGGTGGTGGTCGCTCGCCGGGTGTCGATACGGGGGAGGGAAAGGCGAAGCGATCCCGCAGTGACGGCCAAGGGAAAGAGTAAAAAAGAGTGGCAGAGTAAAGAGTCGAGGTTGGGAGCGAGGCACCTGATTCAATTTATGTGTCGGGAGATTGTTCCCTTCGATAGCCCGGCGTTAAAGTCCAAGTGTAACAAATACTCGAGACGGTGGCGTGTTGTAGCCGCGGCTGGGGTAACGAGTACCTTGGCATGCGGCTGCTGGCTACTGCCATCCTACCTCAAGGTAGGTATGCTCAGCTGAGGTTACACCACATTGGAGAGCAATCTGGATGACGTCCAGGGATGTACCGACGCTGCAGCACTCCCTGTCTTGGATCATTTTCAGCTGGCAGGCTCCCTTGTCCGATCAGGTCAGTTCCGTGTACTCGTACACAAGGTACTCCGGATTATAGCTGCTGATCGACCGGCACGACGCAATCGGCAAAATTGCCAGAATCGGGATTTGCTTCATGGCTGCCGGCAAACTCTCAATAACAGCATCAACGTTCGGCCTTCTGCGTATTAGTACCTGTACTCTGTAAGCGTCAGCAGCCAGAGTACCGATAGCTGCAATGCCAAGGTACATGTAAGTGGTACCTGGCGCCATGCAGCACACAAGTAGCCTTGTTTGGACTTCATATAGCGTGGACGGCACCCTACCTGTGCTTGGCGAGAAAAAAGAAATATGCCCCAAACCCCTCAAATAACCTCCATCAGGCGTCCATGTACAATGACAAGCTCTGATACTCTGCCTTTTTCCAGGCCGTAATAGCCTTCTTCCTATCTGGGTAATCTAAGTTTCAGCGTTCAAGGCGTGCCACGCCGCCAATGCATTGTCCGATATAAGCGGAGGATTATCTCCGACAGTAGACCGCCATATTTTCCAGATATTTCCAAATGTGGAAGTACATGGCCAGACAAACACTCAATCATCATCCTCCCATGCAAAAATACCTTATCCATCCTATGCCTCGTTACGCTTTCCCATCCTCCTAGTCACCGTCTTCCTCCTCGTCTTCGCTATCAATGGCTTGCCGCCTTCGGCGTGTTGCCCGTGGCTTGCGGGCTCTTGGTGCCACAGCGTCTGCTTGAGTTTCCGCGTCAGGAGCATCCGCTACCGCCTCGCTCTCATCGCGTCCATCTTCCATAATAAGGTCTCCATTACCGCCCTGATCATCTTCCTCGAGGGCAGGGAAAAAGTTTGATGTCTCATTCGCCCGGTGGTCTTCACCATCTTCTTCGTAACCTTCAGGCAGAAACCCTCCAGCCATTTCTTCATCGTGAACCTTGGGCGCCTCGCTGGCCCGAACCTCTCCACGGGAGTGACCAAAGACTGAGACACTCTCGTCGATCTCGCCGTATTCTTGCCGGATCCTCTCCACGATGCGCATGCCCATGAGAAACTTGCGCCACATACCTAGCGCTGCCTTGCGCCGCTTCTCATCTTCTTTTCTCACACGCTCCGTTTCGTCTTTCTCTAGCTCTACCATCACTCTATCGTGATGCTCTTTAGCGATAACGACGCCCTGAATAACGGGGACGGCCATCCGGTGGCCGAACTCAAAATCCACCACGGCCTCTGCATAGTCGATTCCTAGTCTCTTGCAGACTTTAACGACGCCTCTAAAGGGTACGTGTACTGCGCCTTTCGGGCACATGTGTTGCGCAAATAGATCAATGTTCCTATACCAACGTGTTAGTCCTCGCTGCGTGATTCTACACATGACTTGACGTACCCGTATTCGTTCTTTGGAATGATGCCGTCCTTGATGGGCGGCGGTATGATCCAATCAGTCTGGTCAAAGCTAAATAATCCTTGAAGCACCTTTTGTCCGGTCATGGCCTCTGCTTCCAGAATCTCCCTCTTCCGGTTGAGAGTGGCCGCCCGGTATGGAACTCTCTTCAGGGGCTCTTCGCCAGCGATTGGAGCTCGTCCTTGCTTGTGCCAGGTTTCCGCGCTTTTGACGAGGACGACATCGGATCGGAGGTATACGTCCTCTTCGTCTGCTTTGCCACCCTTTGCTTTGTTCTTGAAAATCTTGACTGGTTCGGCGCCAGGCCTCAGCGCTTCCTCGCGTTTTAGGTGCCTCTCCAAGGCAAATTCCTTGGATTGCTTGTAGTATTGCAGTGTCTCCTCGCCTTCTTTGACCTCTTTCTTCTCAGCCTTTGCTGGCTTGAGGTCCGTGACGTCTTCTTGTTGGTCAACTTCTGTCAAAGGATGGTTCTTGCCTCCTCGCCTGTAGCCAGACATGGCGGACTTGAACCAATCAAGCATTTCGTAGCGCTTAACCTTGCCATGACGGTCGTAGACCGGGATCTTCACAAGCGGCATTCTCGAGCCCTTGGTTCGCCCTGGAAGAACTTGTCGCTTCAGGTATCTCACCGTGACATCTTTGGCGGTTCCGTCTCTACAATAGCCTACAACATAGGCTATGACTTGTCTGGCTCTGTCGGCTTTGGCACCGCGAGGCTCGAATGTTTCGACGAGATCCCGATTGACGGCGATTGTCCCCTTCACAATGGGGTCGACTGAAAGATATTTTTTGGTGGCTGGTGACAGAATCTCGGTCCAATAATGTGGAAACTCCAAGTCCTTATCGAATTTTTTATCCAGTGGCTTGATTGCGGTGGCAAGATTCATGTCGATGGATTCGTCATCTGTATCCTTATATTCGAGTTCCAAATCGTCTTCAGAATCTTCAGTGGTGTGAGCAGCCGATTGTGTAGTAGATCGAGAAGAACGTGACCGAGCAGGAGTATTGTTGACTCTTGCCTTCTCTTTCCCTTTCTTTTTGGCTGTCTTTTTCTCTAACTTCTTCCCAGTGGTATTCTTCTTATTAGTGGCCTTCGATGGCGTCCCTTGTTTATCTTCTTCATCTTCAGCATCTGCGTCCTCCAGTTTGTTCCATCCAAATCCCAGTGGTTGCAAGCTAGCGACCATCCGAGCATCGATGCCCAAGCCTCGAAGGAGCGCAGTAAACAGCTGAGCTCCAACATCTCTACTCCCTCTGCAGTCGGTGGCGCACTGCCGGAAATCCTCTATACCTTCTAAACGCTCGCCAAATGCTGCGTAATCTGATTCATTGCCCTTGTACGCTTTTGTGAGTCTATCCAGGCGCTCCAACGACATGTAGCCCCATTTCCGGAGACCAGGAGCCGAGACCCGAAATCGTTGTTTCCACCAGGCGACTAGTGATTTCATAAATCGAAACAGAGGATCGCCATGGCTCATATCAATGGCTCCCTCTTCCAGCCGCTTGGCCGTTCCACCCCAATCCCGAGACTCTTGCTTCGCGCCTCTCTTTTTTGTCGCTGTCGCTTTGGGTTGCGGTTGGCGGTCTACCAGACCACTGTTTCGTCTCCAGCGATCTACCTCATCCCAGAGCCTGGGGGGGATGTGAGAAACCATGATTGCCTGAACTTCAGCATCACATATCCACGAATTCCGAACGGCATTGTGCCACAGAAGGCACATGATGTGAACACAGTGCGTCGCATTCCGGACTATCCGCTCTCGCTTTGAGGGGCCCTTTTTGTCGCCAAACTGATTCGTCAGAGATATTCGAGTGTCCCGATTCAGCGTCAGCTCAAGATCGCCGGACGGTGCTGGAGCATCCGGTTCAAATGTGAACTGCGGGGGGGCTTCCACATCCTCAAACTCGATATCGTCGTCATCGTCGTCATCCTCACCAACATCCTCCGTTTTCTGCCGCTTGGCGAGAGGAACATCTTCAAAATCGCTGTCAGACAACGAAGAGAGCGGACTATCGCTATCACTGGCTCCGTCAAGACCTTGCAGGAGTGAATCTGAGCCTCCAGGCGTGTGTGATGAGTCGAGATCGTCGTACAGCGTTCTCTTTCGAGCACCTGCTCTGGGACTTGCCTCACCGGCGCCCTTACCAGCCGAGCCCGTATCTTCAGGCCCAGAGGCTCTCAATCTTTTGCGTGGCACATATGGAGGCATCTCTTCCCACACGCGAATCGACGATGCGAAGTCGAGTTTTGGTGAGAAGTGACATGTCGTCATTGACGCGAAAATGTACGCGGGATCACGTGCACTGCTTAAGCTATTCTCATGAGCGTTTGCAGCCACCCTAGAGCTCGGCATTGATTTGTAACGGCAACTATTTATCAAGAACCAGGTCCCTCTAATGATATTTCACTATAAAATGGTACATGGAATGAATTGGCCTTGATGAGATTGTCTTGAGTAAAATTCTGTAATTGCTCAGAAATGATATTAATTTACAATGCAATATGATGCCAAAATCAACAATGCAAGATACTCTATGATATGCCGCTAAGCTCGCCGACTTCTTATATCCCCAATGCCTCGACCAGCTCGAGGCAAAATCCTACTCAAAACGCCCGTATTACCTCTTGTGTATGTCTTCTCAATCCAGTGTCTTTCATTATACCTCAATCAAGTCCGCAGGCGCACCAACGCCCCTCAGCAACACCAAAGTATTCCCGCTCTGTATCGACGCCCCAACCTTCTCGCCGTAATCAAGAACCCTGCCTCCTTCGACATGGAACACTCGCAGCTTGTCTCTCTCATCTGAGCTCTGGTTGTTGACGTTTTGCACCTGTAGGCTCTTCGCCGCCGCGTCCAGCACACGACCGACTACCCAGTCCTTGGAATAATAAAACTCTCCCTTGGGGAACTTGGCCTTTGCCGTCTCGGCCTCGGCCTCAACGTACACGTAGATGCGCTTCTCCGGAGCCAACTTGTCGTCGCCCTTTGCGGTTTTCTTCAGGCTGTTGACGGCCACCATCCGCGCTGCAGCCGAGCTGGGCTTGGGCTTTGGCAGCGCTCTGCCAGCTTGCTCCTTCTTGGCCGTTCCCCATGCTCGAAGCCGGTCCAGCGCGGATTTCGTCCTTTGGGCAACGTCAATCTGGAGAGGCCGCGCCCCGATTGGCGTCAAGTTCTTGCAGTTGTGGTCATCCTTGAAGCGGTGCTTTAGACAGTAATCCCGATTACATGTTTCGCAGTGAACTCCCGGCGTGAGCGAAGTGCCGATGGTTGTCTCGCAAGTTGGCGACGCGCAAGGCTTCTCTGAGATCTTATCCCGCAGCGTCCTCCCTTGGCCGATGGAGGGCTTTGCCAGCTGGGCCTGTCGTTTGCGTTCCGCCCAGGCTCCCGGGTTTGTGCACTTGTGAGCGGACTCTGAGCGGTGATCCAGGCAAAAGGTCTTGGTGCAGGACTGGCAGAAAAAGGGGAGGAAATCAAGCTGATTGCAGTATTCGTACTGGCAGTGTTTGCCGACCAGGCTGGCGTCTTCCTTGTCCTTCATGATGTAGCTCGTCTCTGGAGCGTCGGAATCCGAACCCGACGCCATCTCGGAGGACGTGAATGATATAAACAAAATAAATATGTCGCCGCGGTCTTGCTAATCCAGCTCATGTGCTGTCAGGCAGAGCAAATTGTCGTCACCTTGCGAGGCGAGCAGTCCGGCGCGGCTGACGGCGTCTCCAGTCGGCTGACCAAACGTGGCAAGGAAGCGTCTGGAAGCCCCTATAACCGTCTGCTAAATTAGCTGCCGCGTGCTGAAGCCCGTGCACTGTGCTCGCTGTGCTCCGGGATTAGCGACGCTGTTTGTACTGTAAGTCTGATGATGAGCCCGGATATGCAATACGGAAGGGAATTTGACAATTGAAATGATTCGCCAAGCGACAGGGGACAAGAGGAGCACGAGATGAGGTGAGATGAGATGAAGCGCAAATAAGGCTGCTGCAGGGTCGAGTTCGCATCGCGGGGTCTTATCCGAGGCCCCACCAATGTGTGCCATGACTTGAGCTTGAGCTTACATGTATGTGTAAGATGGTCACTGAATAAAGTCAACAAGGAGATGGACCTTGATTTACCAACGAGGAAATTAGTCAGTAAATATATAAGAGAGAGAGAAGAAAAGCCATGGTGAATTGTACTGTATTGTAGTATTGTAATTTACAAAAAATCATCTAACGTGCTCCAAAGATCCATGAGTGGAGAGCACCTTGATACGCCGCAAACGCCTTATCCCGTCCATATTCACAGCCAGCACATCCCGGCTATTCCTCCTTAATCTTGGGGTCCTTGTTGATGAGCTTCTCTCGGCCGGTAGCCGGTAAATCCCCAACATACGCCTTGCCTCCAAACTGCTCAAAGCCCTTGTGGAACGCCCACTCCACGGCGTCCTCGACCGGCTTGTCAAAGAGGCTTGGCAGGAATGGAACCACGGACAGTCCCAGTCCAATGGGGCCCCATGTTCTCAACGTGACGTTTTTGACATTCTTCATTGCCTTTCCAGAATACTTGACCATGCTGTGAATGGTAAATGCAGGCAACCCCATACTGGCGAGGCTCTGGAAGATGGCTCTCTGCACCATGACGGTTCGGTAGTCCTCCAATGGAGGGACCACGCCTGCCGTAATGGTGGCCGTCCCCTTCTCAGGAAGACCGGAGAGCCTTTGTTGGTGAGAGTTGAGCAGAAGCTGGGGGTTGAGGATCCGCTGGTTCTGCCAGTAGGCGCGGTATCCCTCATGCGAGACATCGCCAAGAATGTAGAGCCACGAGATTCCGTAGGCAGTGCGAACGAGGTTTGGGTGCGCAACGGGGCGGAACGATTCGCCGATATCTGAAGTATAGGCGACGTAGCGATGGGCGGACAAGAGAATGGTTCGAAGTCGGGTCGCATACGCAGCATATCGCAAGTTGCTCTCTGTGGTGTCCGGAGCCCTGAGATGATTGATATTAGCCTCTTCTCGCCTATAACCGGGCGTAGGTAGCAATTACCGTCCCTCCTTTACGCTGTCAAAGAAACTCTCATCCTTGTCGGCCTTGTCTAGAATCTTCTGCAGCCCTCTGGGCAACTTCTCAGCCTTGGGAAGCTTGGGATCGAAGACATGTTCCTTCGGCGCCTCTTGCTGCTGCTGTTGTTCAGGCTTTGAATCGGATGATTTCCCCCACCAACCCATGATGGCGCTCTAGTGAGTGAAGAGATGCAAGAATGAGAAAGGCGAAAGAATGTCTAGGGAAACCGAATGCCCGCGTTGGTTGATACCTTATGAATTGAATGAAGGATGGAGAAATGCCAACGACAGTACCAAATCTAGCAGCAGTGAGATCCGTAGCTCACGGCTACCAGGAACTCCCGCAAAGCTAACATGGCTAAGCCGGTACAGTGACGTCGACGAGCGAAAGCGGTACTTGTGGGTTGGGCATCCACTGCGCAACAAGCTCGGCCGGGGAATAGCCGGATGGCCGGGGCCTTCAATTCCAGGCACAATTGCAAGTCTCCGTTTTTGCGGCAAAGTCGTTTCAACGATCCTCAACTCTTCAGCAATCCATTGATTCCCGCCCGTTCCTCCCGCCCACCCCTTCGACGCATATCCCGAGGTCAAAATGGCTGGTGTCGCTACCTACACTATTGCTGGTCGACAGATCGGCGGCCACTACGTATGTCTTGCCGGCGAAGGAAAAAGTCGCACTTCTCTAGCTCTGGGTCCAGCTCTCTGACTTGAAGATGAATCTCACAGCTTGCCATGGGCTGGTTGGCTACCCTCTTCGGCGGTGCCTACTATGCTGCTTCCGGCCCCAAGAAGCCTGCGTCTGCTGTCGCCACTCCCCCGATCAACGCTTCCAGCTCTGACGAGGCCGACTTCATCAAGTGCGTTATATATCCGCTGCGGCTTGGAGGCGCAATCGGCTAACGGGATGACAGGAAATTCCTCGAGGAGCAGGACAAGAAGCACTAAATGGCGAAACTCGAAAACGACCGGCATGGAAGGGGATGGTGTATTGTTGTCTTGTACATAATAGATGCCCAGAGAGCGAATGTGTCTCGAGATAGAAAAACGATGCGATTTACTCTCCCCGACATGGCTAGTGCACTTGTTTGATCGCGTCTACGTTGGATGGTTTGAAGATGGATCCTTTGTACAGTCCATGTTGAGCTACAGTGCATCACGTTGAAGGGTGACGCGATACTACGACTGCTAAGCCGGCGGAAACGGGTGCAATCATTTCCTTTGCCATGTCCATTGTCTTGCCTTTCAATGTCTTTGAGGTGAAATTTGCGTATGTGTCTCTTAAATTGAGTATATTGAGTGCCTGGCGGGTGTACGAGGACTGGATATGCCATTAGGGAAATGCGTTTGCAGTTTGGTGCTTTGGCTCTCCATGGTGCTATCGAGTGCGAAGACGATGCAACAATGGTATGCAATTTGCGAGACGATAATTACAATGGATTAGCAAGACCCTCTTTTGGAATTATTATACTACCTCTTTCATGTATGCCATCGACATCGTAATGAGCTTTATTATGCATGGTAGTTTCACTAAGCCGTACATGCGAGAGCAAGAACATCAATCAGGCTGCGCATGCACAAGCAGCAAATAACACTCCCAAGATGAAGCAGTGGTGAATTCGGTAGCCCAGTGAAAAGGTGTACTTCCCTGTATCACGTACAGGCTATTTAAACGTTGAGCATCAACCTAAAATTCCGGATATAAAGTCAATACGATGGGCCCATTGTCAAACATGCAAATAGACAGACACTCGAGATTGATTGCATCAAAGCTTCGTTAGATGCGTCACGGCAATAAGCTCGAAATGTCCTGATGCAAACTATCCATCATAAGATGATAAAGAGAAATTCAATAACCGACTCCAGGAACGGGCCCTTCTAATCTACATCCTAGCGTCCGGACCGGCCTCATGCTAGGAGCCTTGCTTGGATCGACGGGCAGCCGGATATAAGCATAGGTACCAGCACCTCGACTCACATATACAGCGTCCAAGCACCGTTACTTGCAATGCAAATGGAAGACGCGCAAATCGCATAACTCCGTCAACGGGCCCTGCAGCCACTCGCCATGACCAGATGCAGGGCGGCAGCAAAAGACAGCAAGGCAGCCTATCACGCATTTCGCATTCCAGCCGCCCTGCAGGCATCGTGTACATGTATAGCCAATGTGCAGTCCAAGGAGTCACGTGAGCGGCATCTGGGCGGCAGAAAAGCCCTGAAGCTGCGCGCCCCGCCCTTGCTTTTATGGCGCATGCACCATCTCCTAAACCGAAAAGAATCCTGCATCCATCGGATACAACGATTGCAATTTGGACGAACAATGGCCGCGACAGACTCGCTGGTGGACGGCAGCGACATCTCGCCGTCCGTCTCGGCGCCCAAGGAGCGGCACTCGCTGACGCTGGACCAGCGCCGCGCCCTCCGCCGCTGGGCCAACACGCAGACGATCCGCCCGTCGCACAAGGCCTGCATCGAGTGGTTCTTCAGCCAGTACGGCCAGCAGATCAGCCAGTCCACCGTCTCGCACTCGCTGTCGCCCAAGTACTCGCGCCTCGACGGCGACAACCCGCAGCTGTCGGGCTCGCGCCTGCGCTTTGGCAACTGGCCCGACGTCGAGAAGCTGGTGCTGCTGTGGTACCAGCAGGTCCAGGCCGCCGGCCGCCAGCCCACCAACGAGGAGCTGGGCGAGAAGGCCAAGAGCATCTTCAGCCAGCTGCCGCGCTACAAGGAGGAGAGCCCGCCCGAGTTCTCGCCGGGATGGATTCACCGCTTCAAGAAGCGCTACGGCCTGCTGATCCGTCGCCAGCGGCGCCACGGCGACGGCGGCATCAACCCGGCCGACGACATTGACTACCTGGCCGACTGCGTGCCGCGCTTCATGGCCATTGCCAGCGACACGAGCCCCGCCGCCATCCGTGAGCAGGTATTGCGCGTGGTGGGCGTCGAGTCCAGCCTCAACACCTGCGCCCTGGTCCGCGACGAGATCATCCGCCGCCTGGCCAATGCGCACGCCGCTCCGCTCCCGTCTCTGACCCCCGTCGAGCCCACCCTCGCCCAGCCTCAGCCCGACCAGCAGCCGCTCTATGGCGAGGACGACCCCGAGGTGGTGCTGCAGAACGCCCTCCGACAGCTTCAGCAGGAAGAGCAAGCTGCCGAGGAGCAGGCCGCTGCTGTGCGGGAAGAGCGTGAGCGTGCTGAGAGAGCCGCTGGGCTTCAGCAGCAGCAGGCCATGGTCTCGACGCCGAATGCTCGCGCCCCGTCAGACACTCGCTACACCACGCCGGGTCAAGACATGGCTCCTGATCTAACTCTAACGCCAATTCACTCTGAAGTGCCCATTGCTACCCATGATAGACCGCTGCGATGTCCATTCTGCGTCAACCAGCGAATGCTGCGCTCGATCAAGGAGGCGGTGGAGCACATGTCGACGCATGTCGTGGTATAAACTCCATCACCTTTACCAAGACTCATCTCTCTCTCTTCCCTTTTTCTCTTCCTTCATCAATCGGCGTTGCATCTCATCAGCCATCAAAAACTTTGCTTCGCCTCATCTTTTCATGCGCTTTGTTTTTATCACAATCTGGGAGTACGAGGACGGGGGTAAATTTCCGTCGCTTTTCTGGGATGAGGGGGTCCCCTTTACGCGCTCACGGAGTTTGATAAAAAAAGACAAGGGGCCTTTTGGGGAGTTTCGGTGTCTCTTTTTCATCATCATCTCTATTTTCGTTGATATCCATATGGCATATGAGGCGGTAACATGCCGTCAGTAGGCTGCTGATGTACACTATTCTTGTCTGAGAATCGAGACACTCGGGTATCTATGCCGCTTGTGCATGATTCACAAACAATCCCAACTCTGAGAATGTAAAAGTAAAAAAAACAAGAGGCTGTATCCATGTAACCTATTATTCTCAAATCGTAGACCTCATTTATAACTCGTTTTCCTCTAGCAATCCAAGCCCGCCCCAGCTGCCTATATAAACCCAGTCTCCTTCAAACGCTGTATCAGTGCGTCGGCCTGTTCCTGCGCCTCCCGCTTCTGCAACAATGCCGGATCAGTATTGCCAATGTAATTCTTCCAAAACTTGAGTCCCTCGAGCCCCTCCTCGCGACACAGGGCCCCGTGCTCCTCGGCCATGAGCAGCTCCTCCTCCGCCACGCCGAGACTCCATCCGAACCTCTCCGCGGCCTCCTGCGCCGTGACACCGCGCCCAAACTCTCGCCAATCCCATGCAACGTCCCGGTCGGGCGGGAACTCGTGCAGGTCCTGCAGCCAGGCCAGGATCGACTTGATGGTGGCGTCGTCGGTGCGGTCCCGGGCCTGCACCACCATGACGCCGCTCCGGAACTTGCGCAGCCTCACGGGCAGCTTGAGGCCTTCCCACATCTGCGCCGCCTTCTCAAAGTCCATCGGGCTGACGAGTTCGACGCCGCCGCGCGCTCGGTTGAACATTGCCCACAGCTCGACTAGCGTGAGGATGCCGCCAGCCCGTTTGAGAACGCCTCTTGAGTCGTCGGTTAGGAACTCTGCCAAGTTGCGGGCCAGCTCGGAGAAGTAGAGTGACTCGGAGCCTCCGCCGCCGACAATGTCCTTGGTCGTGATCAATCCCAGCTGATGGGCGGATTCGGCCAGTATGCTATTGTCCTTGGGTGTAACATCGCCACTAGCCCCGTTGACCTGCTGTGCAAATCTCTCTGCCAGGGCCACTACCTCCTTTGCGGAAGCCATCAGTGCCTCGAGGTCTTCAAATGCACTACCAATCAGAATTTCGTTATTCTTGCGCATGTTCAAGCCCAGTTGCTCGAGCCCGGCAATGCCCGCAGTCTTGGCCTTCTGAACAGGGGTGCTTGGTGAACCGCTGGCGGAGCTGTCATCCATCGCGCGGTTGCTCTTTGGAGCGGGAGGTGCATCCTGTAGTAGCCATTTCCGCTGCGTCATGGCACTCTTTAGTCGTTCGTAAAAGATCTTCTCCCCGCCACCTCGGAATGATATCTTGACACTCTCCGCAAAGTCTCCGCCACTCTGGCTCGTTTTGCTGTTGCTATCCTTGACCGGACCCGGGGATTGTGTCCTAATATACTCGGAGCTGGAGATGGTAGAAGGTATGTTTTGCGATAGTAACGGAGCTCCGCACATCTCGCAAGATAGAAGCGAGGGGTGATTTGAGAAAGTGCATCGTGGACAATGGAATGACACACTAGTGTCGGGCTTTCCTTGACCACTGCCAGTACGAGTATCAAAAGTCAAAAGATCGCTTGATTGCGGGGTGACTGTTGATGAAGACTCCTGGCTCGAGATTCCACTCTGACTGGCGCTTGGAGTAGCTGCTGGACGGTTGCTGGCAGTAGCAATAGCCGCCTTCAGCACCTGAGATAGCGTTGGTTTGATCCCGCATGCCAAGCATGGGGGAAGAGGAGTGTGGGCATTTGCTGTCACCGGATCAAAGTTGGAAGGGACCGGGTTTGAGAAGCTGCAAATAGTGCAGACCCAAGTTGCGGCCGTGATTGACGGAGGCCCACACGGAGGAGTGTAAGCGTTGTCCGACGATGCGGGAGATGGCGTGCTCCCTCTTGAATTGACTCCTGTGTTGGAAACCACGCGGTTATGGAGCGTTGATCGCTTCAAGGGCTTGGGAACAATGGTGATCTTGGCCGATGACTTGAGGAACCCGGCATAGAACTCATACCGATCCACCTCCTTCAGGTTTAACGCGGCCGAGTACTTCCTTGGTTCATCCTTGTCAACGTAGCAGATGCGATGAGATGTCAGATACACCTGGCCATTTTGCTGGTTCGGGAGCTTAAACTTCCTATGCCGTCTCATCAACATCCAGCCCTCAAACAGCCCCGCTTCCAGACCCAAGAGACTCACCCTTCGTACAAGCCGACATTGTCCTGGACAAAGAGCAGTACTTCATCCGGAAGATACGAAGGCCGTAGTGCAGTAGTCAGATCAAGATGCTTCAGGAACATTCGTCATACGGCAGTGGCAAAGAGCCAGCCTTCGATAGATTGATTCGGCCTGAGATCTGGGATGCGTTGAATAGCACGTGCCGAAGGAAGCGCAATGAACCAAGACTGGATGACGAAGTGAAATGTGTTGTTGCAGGAGATTCAGATGATCGATAACAAACGGCCTGAATCTTGACGTCTACCGAATATGAATAGAGGACAACTTCTGGTTATTGATGAGTCTATAGCGAGGATAATGATGAAGCAAGATTGTGCTACCATTGGTAGGAGATGGAAGATGAGGCATGCGACTTGGTCGAGGTACGTACCTCCTGTGCAGCTCCAGGCAGCCCCACTATTGGCCGGAAGCATCCTCCGCTTCTTGCCAACCCATATTCCGCTAGAATAGCCGGCATTTAACCGTGTTTGCCTGGTCACGTGACTTTCTCTGACGCACATTTTCCTTGTTCCAGCCCAACCTCGCCCGTTGCCTCCTGATCTCGCCCAAGCATCGCGATCAAGACCCATCAACCCGCTGCACAAACTACTGCCGCGCTCTCTATTTGCTCTTGATTTGTCGGCACACCTCGTAAAACTAACTCCAGTTCAGCACCCTCAGTCGCCTTCACCATGTCAGGCTGGCCGACCACTCAGCATCCGCCAGGCGTTGTTTCTCAGCACGCTCCGCCGCCTTCATACGCCTATCCGCCAAGTAAGTCGTTCTTTCATCCCGCAGCGGCTTCTGGAACCTCTAGATGTCTAACATCTTGTGCAGACCCTGCCTTTATTCCAGTCCAGGTGCGACAGGGCTTCAGTCCGTATGCTGCACCGCCACCGCCATACAACCCGTACGCATCAAGTCCAGCTCAGAGCCAGGCCACTACTCCCTCAACCACGACAAATGCATCTCCATCAGCACCTGTAGAACAACCCAAGGGAGCCAAGACCGAGTGGCCGGAATCAGTCCGACGATATGTCCAGCGGTCTTTTCATCCTGAAAACGACGACGCCTCCGTCTCTCGCGCGGAGCTCGAGGCTAAGCTGAAAGACACAATCGGCAGTGCCAAAGAGAACAACTCGCTCTACACTATTGATTGGGATAACATGCCTCTGCCCCAAGCCTTGGTGAGAGCTGACCGTGAAGCACTGCTTAAGCTTCGCCATACCTCGTTGACCACGCCGATATATGCCGACGACTCTTTCAATCCCAGAAAGCGCAAGTCGAATGATTTTCCCAACAATGATGCATCCGTGCCGCCTTGGCACTCTACTAACTCAGGCCGATCCCTCGAGGATCGCATTTCGTATTCCCCCGACAAACGGGTAACCCTCGATGACAGTAAGTTCCAGAAAGAAGCCAACAAGCGAAAGCGCCGTTTCGAAAACGAATACAAGGCGGCCAACGTAGCGTCGCCCAGCCCAACTCCGCCATCCTCCGGTCCCATTGTCGGCACCTCTGAAACCCTTGAAAAGAAGTATCTTCGCCTCACTGCCCCCCCTATTCCGTCCAATGTGCGACCCGAGAGAGTTCTCCGTCAAACGTTAGATTTGTTGAAGAAGAAGTGGAGAAAGGAGAGCAACTATTCGTACATCTGCGACCAGTTTAAATCTATGCGTCAAGATCTTACCGTGCAGCGCATCAAGAACGAGTTTACTGTTTCCGTCTATGAAATTCATGCCCGGATTGCCTTGGAGAAGGGGGACATCGGTGAGTATAATCAGTGCCAGACCCAGTTGCGATCGTTGTATGCAATGGGCCTGAAGGGAAACCCCATTGAGTTCAAGGCGTATCGTATTCTCTATTTCATTCACACGGCCAACCGCACCGGCCTGAACGATACCCTGGCAGATCTAACAGCAGCGGAGAAGGAAGAGAAGCCCATCAAGCACGCGCTCGACGTGCGGTCGGCGCTGGCACTGGGCAACTACCACAAGTTTTTCCAGCTATACCTTGACACACCTAACATGGGTGCATATCTCATGGATATGTTTGTCGCCAGGGAGCGCCTTGCAGCTCTGTGCAATATCTGTAAAGGGTGAGCCGTGATCAACACTTGCATCCCCCTCGTCCGGTTTCACCGCTAACTTTTGCCACTAGATACAAGCCTGACATCAAGCTGCGCTTCATCACTGAGGAACTCGGGTTCGAATCAGATGCTGATGCTGCTCAGTTCATTATTGATTACCAGGGGCAACATCTTCTTGAAGACCGCACAGAGTACATTGCGTTCCTGACTGGTAAAGCCAATAACCTCTTTGAGAACTCTAGAGCGTCGGCTTTCCGGAAAGTGGACATCAAGGGGCAGATTTAACTTTGTGTTGTTGCTCCCTGTTACGTTGCTCAGGCGCCTCTTCCTCTCTGTACCTGTTTTTTTCTGCATGTGGCTCGCATTCGCCAGCGTTTTTTGTTGCATTTCTTCCTCTCTACCTCTCTCAAGACTGCAACATACCCCTGATACCTAACGATAGCATCTTGCCGATTGTGGCAAGGATTCGAAAAGTCTTTTCTTTGGATCTGTTCTTTGGACTGCGTCTGTTGAGAAGCCGATTTCGCATGACGAGTCGTTTCATTCTCCTCCACACGGTTCAGTACTGAGCGACCGATACTCTGTTCCCGCTCGGGGAACGGGGCAGGCTTTTGCCAGTCACTTGATCACGGCGATGCCCTCTTCAAACGATTTTGTCTTCTAACTTGACACGTCAGATCTCTGCTTCCGCTATAAGCAGAACATCACTCGATCCATAATAGCAACCCCAACTAGTTGGATGTTGAAAGGAATTTGGACGGCATGTGACGATATGTTTGCGCCAAACTGCTCCCTTGGCGAGAGCGGATATGGCGTTTTGGCTTCATCATCATCACGGCCGGACTAGAGCCTTGGGAAGTTTAAGATGGTGTTTGGGCGTTGGTAGTATTTTCTTATTTTTGCAAAGCCGTTTGGGCCATGATATTTGCAGAGGCAATTCCGGCTTTAGTTGTACATATATTACATAGTCGGAGCAGCAATCAATTTATCAAGCTTGAATTTTCTCATGACCTTATGTCACCATGTTACGCGGGGATATTGTCCATCTGAGAAGACAAATGGGAATGACATGATGAGCAGCGTCAACTTACTCTACTCCGTATTGTCCTACGACTTGAAGAGACGAGAGAATAGAGTTGAAACAAGCACGGAGAAATGAAGGCTCTGGCGCAATCGATAAGTTGCCGGAGCGGTTTGCGTAGCGCAACTCCTTGTTCAATGGCCTGGAAGACTCTTTGTGTTTCACCATCGGGAGGCCTGTGATGGGTGGCGCTGAATAGAAGCATGCAGACAGGGGTGGTGGAGGAGCTGATGGCCGCTAGGGATTTCGGAAGCAGCTGAGTTGATGTTGAGGACATTAGGTATCAAATGATTAAAGAAGCATTCTATCTTTGTGAAAATTGCAATTCTACCATGGGCTTATCTTTCCGTTGCTCTCCAAGGGCAAATAAATATAGCATAGAGTCGGATGGTACAAGTACATCAGGCCTTGGGGTCTATCTCTCTGTCTGTCTGTGGTGGCATGAGATGTGCACTAACACAAGAACTCGAGTCAATATCTGCTAAAACGGGACCATCTAGTCATGTCCGGAGTAAAGGGGGGAGCCAGTTTTCTCTCTCTTCTACTGCATGCACGGTACGTAAAACTGTATCAGGAAAGCAGAAAGGTGTGAGGCAAGGGAAAGGAAATGAAGTGATGTGAAATAAGAGTCCAGGAAATGGGTGCCCAACAGAGGTAACAGTAACACTGGTGCCGTGTGATTTCAGCCTCGCCGGCGCAGGCTGGCGCTGAGCACACTTGGGCCCCCAGGCACAACACAAGGATCAATTTGACGCTGGATTTGGAGATGTGATGATCGTGTCGTATGTACTGCCTGGTATATGAACTGTGCTTCTGTAAATAGGGTCCACGGGTCCCAGTATTAAATGTCATTCAAGATTGTCTTATTGTGCCCAATACATGTAGATTCCAATCTTCGGTACCTCCCAGTAGGTACTTGTACATGCAGTGCTGTGGGTACAAGCACTTGTAAGGTGCATGTACCTTATTATACTGTTACCAGCCGCTCGGGAACAAGGCCGTGAAGACTGCAACTCGACCAGACGTCATGCCGATGAGTGAATACGCAGCCGAGAAAAAAAAAGAAAAAGAGATGCAACGCAATGGTTGGATCCAAGCTTTCGTGGAAAAGGCGGCATGGAACCCTTGCTGCCCCCTCCCTTGGCCGTTGCGCAGCGCCCCATTGGCAGCTCTGGGCGCTCTGCTCCAGGGCTCGCGGGCCTATGGATAGCGCTTGGACGCTGGCCGCCCCCACTGTAGCCCTCGGCGGCCCCCTGTAGCCCACCTGGAGCCCCGGTTGCTCAGGCTCTCTCTCACGTTGCGACAGGCCACTGGACAGGTTTGCTTGCTCCCAGGCTTACTGCAGACGAACAAGTACATACGATACGAGCGTAATGGCCCGTGGCGGCGGCTCCCTGTTTCTGTCCATAATTTTCTTCTTTCTGCCCGGGCTGTCTCACCACGCCGCTGTTGGGTACCTGCTTGGGGGTCGTACAAGGCACCTGGGAGTGAAGCGAGGGTCGCCCATTGGTACTGTCGGGTGGTACATGGGCGTGCGTGTACCTGCGTGTACCTTGCTCGTGCAACCAGACGTCCACGAGTGTACAGTACATGCATGCATGGGATTGGTCCCTTCTTGTTTTCTCTCCCTCCCACCCACAACTTGCATTGGTAAAAGGCGTCCAGTTTTGTCCAGTAAAGGAATCGATTCTTTCCCACCCATCCGCATCCTGCTCCAGCCGCTTCACCCGGCGCCATCCAACCATTTTTTGCCGTCCGCTTGATATCATTGAAATCCTTTCTTAATAATTTTTTTTTTGCTTTGCTTTGAGCGCCTGTAGATTCCAATCCATTGCGCCGCTACCATAGGCTAAGTGACTGACTTGAACTTGACTTGGATTGCCTCTCTCGCCGTCTCATCGCCTTTGCATCGCATTGCACTGGGTTTCGACTAGATTGCGACTTGGACAAGCAACACGACCCGCGGCTGCACGTTTCCTCGACGGCCGCCTGCATCGCCCAAATCTCAACAGAAAAACGTGAGTTGTTGCGAGGCTCGACTTTCTAGAAGCACGAGGCGCAGCCGACACTACACAAACAGGCTAGGCGTGGACTGCAAGACTAGTATTAATATTGCCTGCTAGCACGCGCAACCAACTTCGTGTGCGACGGACCTGAGCTGCCCTCTGCATCGAGCCGGCCTTCTGCTCAACTTCCTTTTCCCTCTTGCGCTGCCTGTATCGTATTCGATCGAAACCTCGTCATTGGCAACCGGACCCCCCCCCTCCCTGCGTCGCTCGCAGCTTTTTGCGCTCTGTCGAACTCGAACATCGCGACCTCGTACGAAAAACTACGCCCGAACCCTCCCCCCCCCCCCCCCCTCGTCGATTATTCTACACCAACACCCTCATCCTCTCGTCAACATCGCCATACCGCCCATATCCCCGTCCGCCCCGTCCAGATTCCGTTACACAAAGATGAAGGTGCGTCATTGCCAACTGCGCAAGTCATGCGCTGCCAGCTGCAAACCGCTCCCCTCCCCAACTGCCGGACCGGCGTCGCGATGCCGCCCGGATATCAATCGTGTTTGGCACGCCAGCCGCCTGCTTCCAAACTTTCCTCAGTCAATATCACCGCACGCGCAGACCAGATATACAAAACAAAACAAGAACAAAAACAAGCTCCCTTGCGACGAAGTTTCGGACAAAGAGAGAGGAAAACAAGACTAACAGCCATGGGCTTGGTACAGGCGCTCCGTCGGTCTATCAAGGGCGACAAGGAGAAGCAACACAGCATCTCCATTACCCCCAAAGCTGCTGTCGCAATCGTTCCGCCCAAGAAGGTTCGTTGATCAGTGTGCTGCGTTTTGCCCTTTCCCGCTCTCTCCTCCTGCTTTGCGCGCGCATGTCTTTTTTGAGTCGGCAAGGTCGCATGACAAGACATTATCGCGCAAGAGGCAGCCCCACGCTTCCCGTTTCCCTTGGTCTTTTTTTCTCTCTCCCTTTGAGCTGCGTTTGCAATGGCATTTTCATTACGTCTTTTTCTTTCTGGGCCTTCCTCCGTAGTTGTAACCGCGATCCGTTTGAGGGGGACTTCTTCTTATTTCGTACGCAGGTTATCCGAGCTCTCTACGACTACGAGGCCCGCTCTGCCCAGGAGCTGGGCTTCTCCAAAGGCGACTTTTTCCACGTCATCGGCCGCGAGGACGATCCGGACTGGTACGAGGCTTGCAATCCTGCGCTGCCCGATGCGCGGGGCCTCGTGCCCGTGGCCTTTTTCCAGGCGCTGGGCAAGACGGAGAGGGACAGCCAGCAGTCGGACGGTGGCCGCCCACCGACTGCAAACAAGAACCCAGACCATGACTCTGGCTATGGCGAAGTCCACTCTCCCGGCGGCGCATCTGCGCCTCCCGCGTCTCAGCGCATGTCCAAGTCGGCCAGCAAGGGCGCCATGGTTTACGGTGTTGTCATGTACGACTTCAACGCAGAGAGATCCGACGAGCTCGAGGCCAAGGCGGGAGAGGCCATCATCGTCATTGCCCAGTCCAACCCGGAGTGGTTTGTTGCCAAGCCTATCGGTCGACTAGGCGGCCCTGGCTTGATCCCAGTGTCCTTTATTGAGCTCCGTGATATGGGCACGGGCAAGGCCATTGAGAATCCCGCAGAGGCCATCCGGAAGGCGGGCGTTCCCAAGGTCGAGGAATGGAAAAAGATGGCCACGGCTTACAAGAACAGCAGCATCACCCTGGGCAAGTTTGAGGGCGGAGGACCGTCCCAGCCGCTGGAGCAGGGCATGGAGCGTATGAGCATCCAAAATGCGCCTCAGGTGAGTCTTTGTGCGATTCATCCCATATCCAGCCCTTCCTCTTTACCTCGCCTTCTCCACTGCCTAGTTTCGTTGCCCCCTTTCATCACTTCTCCGTCTCCCACTTTGTTTCCATGTCTCTCTCGCCCTACTCTACACTTTTCTATGCTATTCCCAATCTTGCGTCGTGCCTTTTCTTTCTTTCCTTATCTCTACTTGTTCCTCTCCCTCTTCTAACCCTCTCCTCCTCTCCCCCCTATCTTTCACATATTTCTTTCATATTTCACCCCCCTCCCGTCAGTCCCCCTTACGCCTGCTTCCCGTTCAGCCTCGTTGCTCTCTTGCCGTCCTCTCCAGCAGCCTTGCCTTTTGATCAGGCATTAATGATACCCCAAATAGCCCCCACAAGGCGCCCTCAGTGGCCCTCCTCAGCCTGCTACCCACCCCCAGCAGCCTGAGTTTGTATCGAGTGCGACGACGGAACTCTATGCCCCCATCTCTGCCCGGATACCCCGTTACTGCTTTGCAGAGGACAAGTACTGGTTTGTTATCGAGACGCAGCTCGAAGATGGGCGGCACTGGGAGCTTTCCCGGTACTATGAGGACTTTTACGATTTCCAGATTGCGCTTCTCACCGAGTTCCCGGCCGAGGCGGGCAACACTGGAACCCAGAAGCGAACACTCCCTTACATGCCTGGCCCCGTGAGCTATGTGACCGATGCCATCACAGAAGGAAGGCTGCATAACCTGGATGCATATGTGAAGAACCTTCTTGGCCAGCCCCCCTACATTGCGCGTTGCACGCTTGTCAAGCAGTTCTTTGCTCCCAGGGAAGGCGATTATGAGATGGACCCTGCCACGATCGAAGAGGAATACCGGCTATCCCAGGGCTCTCAGGGCTCATCCTCGGGGTCACATGCTAACCCCGATTCGCGACAGTCATCGCGAAACAATCTGAGCGGCAATGGATACAATGGTCTCTCGGCCACCCCGAGACAAGTCAGCAACCCGCAATCAAGTAAGAATTCCCCCCACAATCGTTCTCGATGCCTCGGGCTTTCGACACCTCAGTACTGACCTTGCTGCCTCTAGTCATGCAAATGCCATCGCAGCCTCAACAGGGGCAGCCACAAGTCATGAAGATCAAGATGAACTACAATGGCGATGTCATTGCCATCCGGGTTCCCACGGACATCCAGTACCAGCAACTCTGTGACAAGGTCCGAGATCGACTCAAGGTATCGCCAAACGAGCAAGTCCAGCTGTTTTACAAGGATGAGCAGACGGGAAGTAAGCCCAGCCTCACGAACGACGCCGATCTGGATGACGCCCTTAACCGCAACGAGAAGCTCATGCTGTACGTTGAGGTGGTGTAATTGCTGCACTTTGGGAGCCCATTAACTCTTCGATGTCTATATTTTTCTACTATTTCTTCACTGGACGACCTGGACCGCCTGCCGTGGCGTAGGTACTTTGACGACACGATGAGCCACGGCGATCAACGTCTTGTACCGATGATACCCGCCTCTCAATCAGCTGGAATTGATTTTCTTGTTTCTTCTTATTGCCCGGAAACCGGACCTGGACTATTATCCCCGGAAGCTTGATTCTCCAATGCATATCCCAGTCGGCTGACGGAACCCGGACAATGTAATTTCTGGACTCTACAGGGTGCCACGGCCTATTCGATGCCACCCTTTTTTCTTCTTTTAACACAAAATATCTTCGCTTTATCTATCCGACTCCATATATGGTTCCGGATACAAGACCGCTTCTTTTTTAGGCCTGCCCTGCTTACGGCATGTTTTTATGATTTGTTTCTCAGATACGATTTGGATGGCCAAGCCTCGGAAAGGGCGTTTGGGAAGGACACGGCCTCACCCTTGTTTTCAAAGGTCGAATCCCTGAATCAGATGTTTTTTTTTTTTGCCGGGCTGAACCCCGGTTGCTTTTGTTTTGTCTGATCTTTTTTCTCTCTTTCTGTTTTGCGAGAGATGAAAGAGTGGAATTATACCTTGCTTGCGTGGATGTGGATGGAATTTGCTAGATATGGGGGAGAGAAGGATTTTGTTGAAGAGAGATGCGGGATGAGGGTTTCTGCCTGAGTCTAATTGAGTGGTTTGCGTGAGAGACTGAGTGACGGAATCGGGGGACCAATGTATGTATGGATGGATGGACAGATGAAAATTTTGGGAAGAAAGATTTGCTAGAACTGCAAATAATAAAAGATACAACTGAAATGACATGGAGTGAACGGGATAGTAGACGGTGGATGCTGGACGGCCTTTTGCCTGTGTGATTTGTATTTATCGAGGGCGAATAGTTTATATGACAGCCCCCTACCTATGTATATATATATCCTTTAGTCTACCCAAATGATGATATCACTTGTACTGCTTGAGTACAACACTCCAAGGATGCAGCGTTTACGTCTATTAATTCCCAATCCGCCGGAACAAAGAGAAAAAGAAGAAGCCTGCCCAAACCAAATGAATCATTGACGCATCGCTTCATATGCAAAATTAAGCCAGAAGAAGAAGAAGAAAAACAAAACAGCAAAAGTACAAAAAAGGCCATTACGCAATCCTTTCCATGAGATGCCGTCTCGTCTTCATGTTGACGACGCCGCCCACGCCAAACGCCGGTATGATGCGACACATGCGCGCGGCGGTGCTGATGAGCCAGTTTGACCTTACGACCTGCCAGCGCTGGCGCCAGCCGCCGTCGGGGCGGTTGTACATGTCCAGGCCGAGTAAGTGGACGGGCGTAGAGAAGAGCTGGACCGAGGCCGGGGCCATGAACTGCGCGGCCGTCAAGCCCGAGACGTAGCGCCGCATCCTGTCAGACAGGCGGGCGTCCACCCAGGGCGCCAAAAGCGGCGGGAGGTTGAAGGAGGCGAAGATGGTGAGGCAGTCGCGCATGGTGAAGAGGAGGTAGCTCGGCAGCGGGACGGGTCGGGGGACGGCGCCGGGGGGGCCGAAGAGGCGGACGAAGACCTGGTCCTTGTAGACGCAGAGGCCGACGTTTGCGGCGGAGGAGGCGGCGAACTTGCCGGGGCCGGAGGTGACGGAGGCGGCGGGGCGGTTGGACACGGTGGAGGATGCGGTGTCGAGGGCGTTGGCGGTCATGTAGGTGCCGCCGTAGAGGGCGAAGACGAGGGCGCAGGGGCGGGAGAAGAAGAGGGCCTGGGGGCGGGTGAGGAGGGTGCGGAGGGAGGAGCGGATGGAGGCGGCGAGGGAGTTTCTGCCGGAGGCGTTTTCCATGATGGAGCTGTTTTTTTTTTAAAAAGGAAACGGAGGATTTGAGATTAGTTGTTGGATAGGTAGGAAAGGGAGGGAGATGTTGTAGCTTACCGGTCAATGATGGTGATGATGGGGGCGATGAGGGCGCCGGCGCATGCGGCGCTTGTGGCATCTGCGCCTAGACGCCGGGCGAGTCTGTCGGTGTTCCATTTGGACTGCGGCTGTGACTGGGACGTGGGCGTGGACGTCATGGCAATGGGGAGGCGATGGCCATCTCTTGTGTTTGTGGTTGTGGTTGTGGTTGTGGTTGTTGTGACTGTGATGGCGCTTGCGATGGCGGGCATGCGCGAGGCCAAGGGTTGTGAGACCGCGTCGTCGGTCTTCATTGAGGGAAAGAGTGATGGGTGGTCGAAACAGAAGGAGAAATTGGTGAATGCAGTTGAGATCGGAGTTGCAGAGCTGGATTTGATTTGATTGTCGAGTGGGCAAATGCAAGGTCAGTTGATATCGTCTGATTCTGATGTCTTGAGAGGTACGCGGTTGAGAATGTATCCACGTCAAAACTTGGACGTTGCACCAGCGAACTTTTGGGGACTCAATTGCACCTGTAGATCATGGAAAACAAAAACAAAACGTTTAATAAAATAGGCATTCGAGACGAGGAATCCAAAACAGAGTTACACGGTCGAGCGCGATTCACCGAGTTATAGCAGTTAATTCAGCATGGTATCGATACCGATACGGAAGCCGATACCGATGATAGGCGATGGCAGCCAGTGATCGAATCGCAGGCCAGGGAATAGCTGTGCACTCATGATACGGGCTGTGAGTGGCCAGCCTGCGAACGAGGCCCCGATCTCGGAGCATGGGGGGTTATGCGAGTACATAAAGTGTTGGCAGTTTAGCAGGCTACCAAGGTGTACATAGGCAGGTGTCTACAGTGTTTGCACTTCCTGAGCAACAGGGCGACAAACGGATCGCAAGCTCGAGTCCCGGTGCAGTCTTTGATCTGTAGTCTGGAGCTCCCGGAGCTTTCGGCGGCTCGGACCCGGTCCGCGAGTGTGGGTATGATTCTGATTCTGATTCTGATTCCCCCTTCTTTTTGTCTTGGAGAGAGAGAGAGAGAGAGAGAGAGAGGGAGGGGTATCACGACAAGGGCAAAGAGTGACAGGGGACTTTGCTGGCGGGGGTGGGTACTAACGTGAAGGACCCCATGGTACAAGACTGACAGGCTCATCACATGCGTCGAGTTTCGTCATCAGCATGTATCCAGGATATCGGACATCGGACATGGCAGATGACAGATGCACGTAATATCGAAATGAGGTCCATGCCTTGACACTATCGATTAGGCTCGGACTGAATGAATGACCTCCAGAGCGCCTCACGTTTCATGTCATGTCAGTATCGGGGCTCAAGCTTACAAACTTGCAGTGTCATGTTGTTAGTACCCAAGGCAGCAGGTAGCAGCCAAGCATTGAATTGTATCCATTCCCCCCTGCGTTGACTGCTGTCAAACTCTGACAGACACACCGATCTTGGGCACATGTAGCGAGTACAGAAGCGCTCAGCGCCCGTGCCGGTGCCTAAGCGGTAGTGCTACCTGGTGTGGCTTGGCCGAGCGTCTAGCGCCAGGTACAAGCACGGCCAAGCTTGGTGAGGTCGGGCGCCAATTGAGCCACGGCCACGCATCACAACCAGCCCATCCCATCCCATCCCATCCCATCCCTTGCTGTCGACGTGGCTCGCGGGTCTTGGTGGCTGCGTCATGGCGATGCTTCTGGGCAGCGGCCGTTCCATTGCATTGCTCAAAATAACGCCTCACTGCTATGGATACAGGCACAGGCACGGGGGATGAGGTAAGCCATTCGATACAGCTGTCTATCTCTTATCCTGAGTGGCTGGTGAGTACGAGCATGGCGTCCATGGCACGGCTCGTCAGCTTCCAAATCTCTCCCTTCACGTCATTTGCCTCTTGTTTTAGGCCTGCCGTCTGCGCTGCAAGAGACGCTCGTGCCATGTCGCGGACAGGGCTCCTGGACCAGGCAATAGACCCGGACCAGCATGACTGGAAACGAGACAGCCGCGCCATCTGGAGCAGGGCAGAGTCAAGCAGCATAGCATGGATATGATATGATATGATATGCGTACAGTATGGAGTATGCGGAGGGGCAATTGGGCAACCCGGGGCTTATTATATGTACCTACTGCACTGTACGGATTACGAGTACATCAATGTCTTGTGCGCAGCACTGCAACGCTTGATAAGCGGTCCATGATGGGGATCCCCGAGGCCATTTATACGGAATTGTGACTTATCGGCAGCATCGTGAGGGCACGCCGCGGTGATGCTCGGGGCTTCACGGGAGCAGCGATTCCAGACTTTCCTCGGGCTCCAAGTGTTATCTTGGCCACAATCAGGGCATGCGGAGAGGGGGACTCGAAACAGCCTGCGAGTGGCCTTTTTGCTAAAGAGCATGCGTTGATTGAGCCCACGTCTCTCCCCGTCCTGTCCGGCTATGGAACCCGCGACAACACGCAATGCAGTACGGCCAGATGGAGCAAAGCCTCCTGGACTTGACCCTCTAGACCTGCAGTATGAGGAAGCGGCGTCGCGTGAGAGGCAAAACGCACAACGCCGAAACTGGGGCAATTGTCGTGGCCGTGGCTGGACCAATGTATCCGCATAAGGCTGCAATGCAGGCGGGTTGGGATGGAGTCTCAATATCGGTGGCCGCCAATGAGACGCCTCCAGCAACACCATCGCCATGCACGTCCAGCTTCGCTACGTGGCCAGGGTGCTATGGCCTCTGCCCGTCTCCGCACTATTCACTCCTCATGCCTGGGTTTAGTCACCAAGCCGCTGGTGAAGCCCGCATAATCCCATCTATGCAGGAGAATCGCCTGCATGGCTGGCCACGACCGCGGCACAATTCAAACGGCCCACCGAGTCTGGTTTTGCAATGGCCCTTGAGATATAATGGAGTGTCCAGTCGTCTCGTCGTTGCGGGAGAAGTGAGATGCAAGCCCATCTTCACACCCACGCCATCCTGACTTGATAATTTTTTTTGTTGTCTTTTCCCCTTGTTCCATTTGGCGGCGGCTCAAAGTCTACCTTTCGCCTTGGCCGTCTCACTACTCATTGGGGCTTCGTTTTATTACGACCCCAGCTTCCCTCTGCAACCCTTCACCGGTCTGTTCCTACTATGACTCGGCGAGGTGGAAGCTCTGATGGAACGTTTTACTTTCAGGCATGGCACGTCGCCAAAGTCGTGAGCGGGGAGTCGTGGCCTCAGAATAAAGGCCTGGCCGACTTTGTCGAGCAGAATGTCGGCCCCGCGACAAAGAAATGGCTGTATATCAAGGGATGCGTGCCAACCAGGGAGAAGCCCGGACTTCTCGTTCCCTACTCTGTGAGTCACCCACCACATCCCATTGCTCGACTGATATCATGATGAAGAGAGAAGAGGCAACTAACCAAGCTGGGTCTCGTATAGATCTGTGTCAAGTTACGCTCTCCAAAATCTGGGCAGGACCCAAAAGAGGCGGAACAGGCTCTCCTCCACTTTCGCAATGAAGAGTTCCCCAGCCTTGCAAAGACTTACTTCAACTCCAAGCTACGCATCTCGCTGGACTTCTTCAACTACTACTCCGAGGGCGCAGATTTCGACGCTCCTCTGGCCAACTTTGATTCCGTCAAGACTTCCAAGAGGTTGAAGGAAAAGGTCAAATCGGCCGTCAAGTTCGTCAAAAAGGACTTTTGGGGCGACCTTGTCCATGGATTGTACGTTTCACCCTCCTCCAGGCACAGCAATTTGCATCTGGTGATGGCGCTAACCCACCATCTTGCAGGGTCGATTCTTCAAAAGCAGAGTTCAAGGCGGCTCGGTTCATCAGGAAGCGAGGCAAAGGTATGTACAAGGCCATGGGGGACCCGGAGGACGTAGAGGAGAGCGACGTTGTTGACATATCCCTCGACCTTTCAGACCCTGCCTCCAACCCCAACATCCTGCCTGCCACGCCGCTGCAAAACCCGCTCCCGCTCCCCGTCTCGCTCCCGGGCGCCAGCTTTGCTCGTGTTCCGGAGCCTGACGTGTCTCCTTCGCCTCGACCGAGAAAGGCATCAGATCTCTCCGACACCACCGTCGGCTCTACAGATACGCGTGCTACCGATGCTAGCTCTGTTGTCACCGTCGATACCGCACAGTCTTCGATCGTTGGTGAAGAGTCCTCCTCTTCTGAGGTGCAGGATGCAAAGGAGGCCTCCTCCGAGTTGGCTGTAGTGGCCGAGGAAGAGGAAGCATCTACATCTCCTGCTATCGAAGAAACTCAAGTCGAAGCTGAAGTAGACGCTGTCGAAGCTGAGGCTAAAGTTGAAGTCGAAACTGAAGCTGGTGCTGAAGTTGAAGCTGAGGTCGAAGCCGAAGTCGAAGCTGAAGTTGAAGCTGAAGTCGAGACTGATGCTGATGCTGAGGTTGAAGCTGAAGCTGATGATGAAGCTGAAGCTGAGGTTGAACCCGAGGTTGATGCTGAAGTAGATGCTGAAGTTGAAGCTGAAGCTGAGGTTGAACCCGAGATTGATGCTGAAGTAGATGCTGAAGTTGAAGCTGAAGTCGAAGCTGAAGTCGAAGCTGAAGTCGAGATTGAAGCTGAAGTCGAGATTGAAGCTGATGCTGAGGTTGAAGCTGATGCTGAGGTTGAAGCTGATGCTGAGGTTGAAGCTGATGCTGAGGTTGAAGCTGAAGCTGAGGTTGAAGCTGAGGTTGAAGCTGAAGTTGAAGTTGAGGTTGATATGACAGACTCGGATTCGTCATACCAAGAGACAATGACTGAAGCTGCCGACGCTACCAGTTCTCCCGCAACCACCATCACCCCTTCTTCCAGCGTCGTGGCCACCAGGAGAAAGATGAATTGTGTCTCGCCTCAAGCCGCACAGACAGCCTACTTCATGGTGCAGAATAGCGGTAACTGGCTTCGCTACCTCATGGCCAACCACGGCCAGGGTGCCCAAAAGCTGGGGTCTGCCTTTTTCGACTCGCCCATCATCCTCGCCGCACCTCTCCAGGCCCTCAGTCCAGACGGCATGACGCGTGTGTATTTCATGTCACAAGCCACGAAAGAGCAAGATGAAGTGAATTACGACAAGAATGGACGCCCGGTTCACGCTCGTAAGGGTGGCAACTCAGTCCAGGAATGGGTCGTCGGAAGCGCCAAGATCTCGACCCAGGCTCTCACCATGCATCTTGGCAAGCAGCTCGAGAATAGGAATGCCAGACTCCTACCGGCGCCTCCGCCCGCGGTGCGCGAGGTCGACTCGGTCGTCGGTCCCAACAACCGACTGATAGAGATGACCGATGCGCCAGGCATTCCTCAAGCCATCCTAGTCACAACGCCCCATCCTGTCGAGGATGTCCGGGAGGGCGATATTGTGCAGGAAGAGCACGACGACGGCTTTGTTCATATCGAGACCAACGCCCTCAACAAGCTGGTCGAGGAGGTGGTATCCGAGAATGCAGACGGTGCCGATAAGAAGGGCAAGGGAGTGATGAAGCCTGAGAGGAAGTCCCGTTCCAAGGGCAAGCTTCCGAGCACCAAACACAGATCCAAGACGAACATGAAGAATTCCAAAGACAGGATCAAAAAGATGACCAAGTTGGATCAAACGACGGATGCCAGCACAAGCGCGAGGGCACATGTCAGGTTTGATATCCCGGTTGACGCCGATGGCGTCCCGCCTCGCAAACCATCCAAGGTATATACTCCTCCTTTCAACCGGAAATCTTGGCGAGATGTGGAGCCTCAAGAGCCACAGGTCATGTACGATGCCACGAGCGGATACAACTTCTTGCAAGTGGAAGACGTCCAAGTCTTTTCGTTCTCGACGTCCTCCCACGACACGATGCTGCGCACTGCTCCCGTCGCCCCCGCGGCGGTTGAGGAGGGCGAGGGCATCGGTGTCTGGTCACCTCCCGTCGTCGGCATTTTCTCTTGGATGTGGGATTATTTGGGAGGAGCGCCCAAGGTCGCTGCAGTGCATTAATCTTCGCTTTTTCAAGATGAAAAATGCAAGCGGCAAAGGTGATTACTGAGGTGAGAGAGAGCGAGCTCGATGTGCATCTGCGATGACATGAAGGGCATGGGAACGAGCAAACCGCCTTTGGAACAAGGGGTTTGATAATTTGGAATTTATCAACGGCATTGCGATGGCGCATGGGTCTTCTTTTTAAAACACCACTTTGCACGCATCTCTTTCTTTTGTTTCTTATTCTACACATTTTCTCGCTTGGGTTCACGATTGGAATCATGTTCCCCTTTGCGACTCATCGTCGTCACGAACACTCGTTTATTCCCTTTGTTACAGAAAACGAAAAACAGATTGACGGATAATGATGACGAAAGAGAGAAAAATGATACACGGACAAATTGGACATGGGATTTGGAATATACGAAATTATGGAATACGATATATAGGATATGGGAAAGACTTGGCCGGAATCAGATTGTACGCCATTTATATAGATAGATTATAGCATTTGAAAATGATTGATGTTGGGCTTTAGCCTGCTTATTGGATTGACTTTTACTGTTATTGCATTTTGAGTTGTCTGCTAAACTGTAATCACCATTTGTTGACTTCAAGCTTTCATGACTCAAAATGAAGGATAACACGCTTGGTAGTTATAGAAAGGGAATGCTGTGTGATCTTGTATAGATAAAACTTACAGGGTAAAGGATTAATTGCAATGAATACTATATATCTCTATATGTCCCCCCCAAAAAATAAGCTGACTATTGACTCTGCAGCGAGTTCAGGTCTCAAAAGAATATCTCATGTAGTTATTTATATGCTCCAATGTGTGCTGTAACAGGTATCGACCGGTCTGGGGCGCAATATCAGACTTGATCTAATCCTGTTCCCTGAGAAACCAAAGAATCCTGCTATGTCTGTCAGCATCTTGTGTAAGTATCCGGGATGCATGAAAGGGTGTAGAGTTGGAACTTACTATAGCACTTGCAGGAAGATATTTGCCCCATTTCACTGCTGTCGTGCTGTTGCCAATCCAAACTTGCCCGCTCGATTCTCTCTCCACTGCCTTGACGTATTTCTCGCAGTACTCTTCAGTGCTCATTTTTGCACCGCCACCTCCAAGAGCACGTTCTCTAATAGCTTCTTCTGCGCCCTTGTAAAGCGAAGTTGAAGGTAGTTGGAACCCAGTGTTTTCGGATCCGAGATTGCTGTTAACGACTCCCGTTACAACTGTGAGTACTTTGACCCCAAATGAAGCCATCTCTAGACGTAGCGTCTCGCTCAGAATCATGACGGCTGATTTCGATGCCGCATATGCCCCTACCTCAAGTCAGAAAATGGAGTCAACACCTAAAACCTTGCCTTGACTTACCTCCAAAAGGGACATTCAAGTAACCAGCTATGGAGCCAGTGTTGGCAATAGTTCCCTTTGCATTCATAATAAGAGGAGAAAATGCTTTTATCATCGCCAAAGGGCCCCAGAGGTTAACATTAAACATGTTTCTAGCTTCCTCTTCATCAGTATCCAACACCGGCATCATCATTAATGCACCAGCGTTATTGCACAGGCAGTCGAGACTTCCTCCAGTCTCTTGCTTTACTGCTTCGACGGCAGCTTCGATGCTGAGTGAAGAGGTAACGTCGAGTGCGAGGAGTTGGACATTGGGGAGGTTTGCCAGGCTTGCCATCTTTGAGATGTTGCGAGTTGTTGCAAAGACTTTCCAGCCGTGTTTTTGGAAAGAAAGGGCTAAACCTGCGCCGATTCCTCCATCGCTGCAGCCGGTAATGAGAACGGATTTCGATGACATATCTGGAGACGGTTTTATGTTGTGCAAAAGACTATTAGATGGTGAAAAGCAAGAGGTAAGCAGAGAAGACGGTTCGTGAAATGATTGATCAATGTAAAGGAATATAATAGAGGTATCAGAATAGACTGCGAACTTGAGGAACTATTTAGAAATATATGGCCATATATATAGGACTTGTTATATACTCATACCAATGGCATATGCTTTGGATTCGGGTCAACTCTGCGCCGCCCAACTCCAACGAAACACCAAGTTGTAGAAGAACTCTAATTGGGCACCTGGATTAATATCATTATGCTGACTACAAATGACTGAAATAGGAAGTGACGGCGAAAATTAGTTCGAAGCGTCGGTGTAACTGATTTCTCAAATCAAGACAAATTATTTTCATATTAACTTTCATTATAATATTAAAAACATGAATTAAGCTGTAATAAAAATCATTCGGCTATTCAACTATAAAGTCTTCAAGGTGCCTCTGTAGTACAAAACTTCAGCTGCTTGCTTTATAGTTCTTTAAAATAAAACAACCATAGTAGGCAAGCTTGTATTGCAGATCAGGTGAATGGCCATCGGGACAAATCATAAATTCAGTGTCCTAGTATTTTGTCCTATCAAAAACTACTTTCTATGTAGATCGCCTCCTGCTTATGATCTTAAGCGCGATGTTTGTGACAACATGAAGCCAGTAGCCGGTAATGATTGACTTGAATCGCCAGGGTTCGACCAAGGTAGTATCAGGACCAATACGCAGCTTTGCCTGGCAGGGTACATGTAATTCGAGCCTCTCTGAGGGCCTTGTACATGTACCTATCATCCTAAACTCGAGTCAGACCCTGGCCGCCAATCCAATGTCGGAGAAGAGCAGAGTTGCCCAGCCTCAATGATGCCAAGGCCTCTGTGTCCAAAGCTTTGTGACTATCGACTCTAGAGCTGATAGTGTCTTGGCTTGGCTCCAGCTGAGGCTTTGATCTCCCAACAGCAATCAATAGGGCCCCCATAGAGGCCTTGGGAATGTGGCAATCGCCCATCATTTACCGTACAAGGCAAACGCTTGCTAGGTGGCGCACATTCACACCCCTGTAGATACACTGATTAAGTGCTAGTCCCTGAGGGCTGAATGCTTGGACCTACATAGCTTCATGTTGTCTTGGTTTGCCAGGACTTCCCTCGTCCAGGTTGGCAATGGCGCACTGTTCGCCAGATATATTAGTGAGAAACCTCGTGCCTTGGGGAGCGCCAAAGCGTAACCGCAGAAATCATCATTCACAGCCTTTTCACTATTTTGAAAATAGAACCATCAGGTACTTTGTTGCGTACTTTACGGTATGAAGTGGTGCTTTCTTTCATTGCCCGCTCTAGCGGTGGCATTCCTGTTTAGCACGGCGGTCAGTTACTACTGCATCCCTTCCTCATCGCTGGTCCTATGTTGTGTGTTGCGAATCCCATCTCTCTTACCCTGGGTCGTTGCGGGCGTTCGTGGTCCGTTATCCATTTGCTGCACAAGGATGAGGGCTAATAACTTCAGTCGAAACAGCAGGCAGCTCAGCTTCTCGCGGGTAACACAGGACCATGTGCAACCGACGACTCCATCGTCTACCTGACCTGGATTCAGAAGCATAAACCTGCCGGCGTGAAGGGCACCTGGATAGATCCCTTTTCCACCGAGGCGTGGTGGAATGCAAATAACGGAAACAAAGTATCTAAGCGTGAGCATGTATTTGCATTCGCGCATGCGAAACCTAGCACCGAGCTTCACGAGATTCTCAAACGCCAGCTTGATTGTAAGTTTGCTAGATTTCCCTTCCTTGCTGTGGCACGAATCTTCTCTCATCTTTTCTTTCTTGCCTATTCTGCCAGGTTCCGATTCTGAATCCCCCGGAGTCTGCCTTCGCGACCGAGACCGCCTGCTCTGCTACAGCCAGTCCAGCGGCATTGGTGTATATGAAGATGGCTACAAGCTCAACTTCATCACCGGTGATTACACCACACCAACCGGGGAGAAGGGCAATGTTCAATTCGGTCCTTGCCCTGGCGCTGTGTATAATGAGGAAGATGACGGCAGGCGCTGCACCCGCGATCCAACCCCAACAATCACCGCCACGACGTCCGCTGGCTCCGCGTCGCGAACTGCGCCATCTGATGGTTCAGATACAGCAGACACTATCACCACATCAACGGCAGATAGCCGTGCGGCTGCGACTTTACATCCAAACGTAATGCCAATGCTTTTCGCGGCTGGTGGTCTGCCATGGCTGCTGCAGATTTGAAGATTATGCGCAAGTAGTTTGTTGATAGCTAACTCGGAGTTCTTTGCTATACGTTCAGACTAACTTGTGACTATGCTACACAATTGATAATTTAACAACGGGACCAATATTTAGCAACAATAAAAACACTGTAAACTTAAATCCATGCCTCTTCTGCGATAATAGCTACACGTATTTAGTCGAAGTTGGTCTGGATAGTTTTGTTTGACATATATATATATATTCATCCGCAGATGTGATCACCCTTGCAATATGTCCCCAAGTGCTTAACATTTCCACTCCGTCCTATTCGAATCATTATAATCTCGCCCTCACAGGTTCCTGATACAGTTCTTCCGACTTCTCCGCCTCTTGTTTCATCATCTCCGCCGCAATATTACGCAAATCAGGTTTCCTCAGCTTCCCGCTCGCCGTCTTGGGCCACGCCTGGAAAGCAGGATGTGAGCCCAACCAAATGACATATCGTGGCCGCTTGAAGTACGCCAGCGTCTCAGTGACCCACGCGCGGAGGTCGTCGTCTGAAGGCCTGTCCGTGTCTGTTGCCGTGGGCTCGACAAATGCGCAGATTTGCTCGCCGTATTTGGCGTCAGGGACCCCGATGACAGAGGCCTGTGCAATAGAAGGATGTGCGACAAGACGCTCTTCTATCTCTAGAGGCGAAATGTTTTCACCGCCACGGATAATCATGTCCTTGATACGGCCTGTGATGACAAAGAAGCCGTCGGGGTCAAAGTAACCCTCATCGCCTGTGTGAAACCACTCCAGGCCATCTTCAGGAGAGATTCGATGAGCCTCTGCGGTGCGCTCGGGGTTTCCATAGTACCCAGCCTGGATGCCGTTGCCACGGAGGGCGATTTCGCCTCGCTGGCCTCGAGGAACTGTCTTGCCGGTAGAAGGATCGGCTATTCGAGCAGAGAAGCCGGGGAACAGGCGGCCAGATGTGATTGTACGCTGGGCGATAGTATCAGAATCACGGGTCATTGTGACGATGGATGAAGCTTCAGTAAGGCCCCAATTGGTATGCGTCTGGGTGATGCCAAAGGCAGACCAGACTTTGCGCATCAACGGTTCGGGGACGGCCGATCCAGACAGTATGGCGAAGCGAAGGCTAGTGAGATCAAACTCCTTGAAGCGAGGATGAGCCATTTCGGCGACGAACATGGTTGTGACACCGTACAGACCGGTGCAGCTGTATTTAGCAATGCATGATAGTGTGGCCTCGACATTGAAGATGCTGGCAGGCAGTATCAGCGATGCTCCAAAAGCAGTTGCAGTGGCAAGGCCGATAATGAGACCGAAGCTGTGGAACAATGGCACCGGTAGGCAAATGCGGTCCGAGGCTTTGAGATACATGGTGCTGCCTATGTAGCGGCCGGCGTTGTAGATGCCACTATGAGTCAAGGCAGAGGCTTTAGGGAGGCCTGTTGATCCACTGGTGAATTGTAGATTCATGACATCTCTGGCGTGAATCTTGGTTTCCATTGCAAGTAGATCAACGACACTACTGCGGCCGCGAACAAGCACATCTTCGTAGTTATGGTAGTCGTTGTACCCTAGCTTGACGAGAGCAGGCTCTTTATCTGCATTCACTATGATGATGTTCCGTAGAGATGGAATACCATTTCTCAAATTCGGGATCCAATGGCGGTAATCATAGCGGTCGAACCGCGGGACCATGACGAGTGTGGAAACGCCGCACGATGACAGGACAGAGTGAAGCTCCTGCTCGCTATAGGCATAATTGGCCAGCGTGACGGGTGCGCCAATCTTGGTACAGGCGAAGAAAGTTTCGATGTATTCAATCTCGTTGCCCATGAGGATAGCGATTCGGTCGCCTCGCTTGGCGCCCAAGGCGACGAATCCACGAGCGAGATCATCGGATCGAGTGTCGGCCTCGGCATAGGTCAACGATTTCTGCTGATGATCGGAGGCAACGAGCAGTGCAGACGGTCGAGCTTTGGCTTGTTCGCGGAGGAGACAACCAAATGTTTTGTGTATAGGAACGGGTTGAGCTGGGCCGTGGAGGATGGAGAGGTCGGCATTGTTTGTGGAGGACATGGCTGGTGATTCTCTACTGTCTGCCATGGCTTGAGTGTGATTGGAGAGGGGAGGGGGGGAGAAGTCGGGAAGAATTTGAGCATGAGAGAAGAGAGAAGAGTTTCATGCGATCTAGGCAAAGAGAAGAGCTGTAATTTGAGAGGATAGAGGAGGGGGGAGTGTCTTGGAGCTGGGATTGGCCTTGGTCCGCTTCGGCCCGGAGGTGGGGCCGATCCGGGGTCCGGAGGCGGAGGCGAGGAGAAGCCTCGTCTTTTCATAGGCGAAGCGAATGAACTTGATGCACGTCGTCTATTGTATCGGTGTGTTTGCAAATCATATTCAAACTTTGCCTCTTGTAAAGGGTGATTTTGCTCGCGAGTCGGGGCTTGGTTGTATGGCTTTGTGGTGGTCGTTGGATCGGGGCGACACGCGACACGCGATAGACGAGCGGGTGGTGTGGGGATAGGCGGCATTCACGCCGAGGGAACTGGCCGAATTTGTGGAGGAACAGTGGCTGTTGATGGGGACTAATTGAGGAGTAATGGCTTTATTTGAAGTACCCGACAGTGCAGCTATTCAATTTGAGAGAAGAATGGCGTGTAATACGAAGAGATATGTGGACTTATTCGGGCCCTTCTGAAGTAGACCTAACACGCATCCAACAAGACAGCGCCGGTGAACTAAGCATCAAAATGAATGTTCGAGATAGGATTGTTGTTGTTACAGGAGGGTAGGTTTCCACTCTATAATATCCCTGCTGTGCGTTCTACTCTGCTAAAACAACACAATGACAGCCTGTCTGGCCTCGGTGCGGCGACAGTCAAGCTCATGAGCAGCCTCGGCGCTTCAATAGCCGTCTTCGATTTGCAGCTGCCAACCGGTAGCTCAGACTCGCAGAAACATCGATACTTCAAGGTCGATGTGTCCAACACAGAACAAGTAGCCACAGCGGTAAAGGCAGTGGCAGCGTGGAGCAAAGAGACAAGCAAGCCCATTGCCGCGGTGGTGTGCTGCGCTGGGTTCCTCGGGCCGGCAAAGGTGAGATGCCCTTACATAGATGGGCTTGTAACTTTCAGCCAACTGATCATGTATACAGATTCTCTCCAAAAACAACAGTCCTTTGGCCCTCGAGACGTTTAAAAAGGTGGTTGACATCAGCCTCACCGGCACCGTCGACATTATCCGCCAAATCCTGCCTTACATGTCAACTCAACCTGCCGACGAAAACGGCTCGCGGGGCGTCATAATTACCGTCTCATCAGCCGCCGCTTTTGACGGCCAAGAAGGCCAAGTTTCATACAGCGCAGCCAAAGGAGCCATCGCGTCCATGACGCTACCACTAGCAAGAGATCTCTCGCGATGGGGAATAAGGGCAGTTTGCATTGCGCCGGGCATGTTTGATACGGGTATGGTCGAGGGAATGCCAGAAAAGGCAAGGGAGAGCTTAAAGAAGACGCTGGAGTTTCCGGCGAGAGCGGGTAGACCGGAGGAGTTTGCGGGGATGGTTAAGAGTGTAGTTGAGAATGTCATGTTGAATGGGACGGTGATACGGCTGGACGGAGCGGCGAGGATGCCGAGCCGGTTGTAATCTTTAGTATAGACATATCTACCATGATGAAATCTATGATTATCAGCATCATCATTATTATTCTAATTCTATGTTTGCCTTTGTGTGTGATGATTGACATGGTTACAAATACAGCCGGATCGAGGCTACTACAGTCGCATTCTCGTCTCGTAGTTACGCATATTACATGTACCTTTAGTAACACTAATTATTAAAACAATGTAACCAACACAATCTCCGTTTATCAACTACCGCATAACTCGTCTGTAATTTGAATATCGTGTTGCTGCATTGCTTAAAATAGAACGAGAACAAGAAGTGGTGGATGGGCGGGTCTCGGCTGTCGTCTATCGCCAAAGAAGATTGAAATGTGGATGATATCAGCAATACCTTCAATTACCTATGCATCATACGCCCTAAACTCCAGTGTAGAGCAATTCTGTGGACTAGCGATCTCAATTAATTCTGGGCGAACTTGGGGCGAAATTAGAGCGACCAAATTATCCGAGGTATATCGCAACAGCCGTGACGAGATCGGAATAATCAGCTCTCCTTTAACCAGGATAAAACATGCCGCTTCTCAAATTACAATAAAAAATATATACACAAGCATCATAGTAGACGACAGTTTCATTTCTTCAAGAATCATTGAATACATCATAATGCCTGGCTCACCGTCCTCCTTTGTTGTCGGGGTTGGCATGACGCCGTTCCTCTCCCCCAAAAAGTCTGCAAGTCTCGCGGCCAACCCACAGTCAGATTATCTTGATCTCGCTGTCGAAGCTGGAGTCAAAGCTCTGCTAGACGCTGGCCTCACTTTTGACAAAGTAGACCAGGGCATAGGATGCTATGTATTTGGAGACTCAACATGTGCCCAGCGCGTCTTCTACAGCTTGGGAATGACGAGCATCCCCATCCTCAATGTTCACAACTATTGCAGCTCGGGGAGCACTGGTCTTTGGCTGGCAAATCAAGCCATTCGCTCCGGTGATGCAGACTGCGTCATGGTTGTTGGCTTCGACAAGATGTATCCGGGAGTGCTTCCTCAGACACACAAGGATCGCACAAATCCCCTGTCGCGTGTTCTTGATCTCTCCAAGGCGCAGATCCCTGAAGCAGACCGTAATAAGCCATCGCCGGGTTGGAGTCCTCAACTCTACGCCAATGCTCAAGCAGAGTATCTTGATAGATATGGAGGGCCTAGTGGTGCTGAGAGGCGTGACTTTGCGCGCATTACGGCTATTAATCGAGAGCATGGCACTCGAAACCCTTACTCTCAGCTGTCGAAGGCCGTTTCAGCCGAAGATGTTTTGTCCAGTCCAGTGATTTCTGGAGACATTACACGTCTTCAGTGCTGCCCCTCATCGGTAAGTAATGAATATCAAATCTTCTATATTGTATCTTTTTGACTAACCATGATAAAATGTTTAGACTGGCGCGGCAGCAGCGGTTATTGTGTCTGAATCCTTCCTGGCTGCTCATCCCTATCTTCGAAGCACAGCCATCCAGATCGCGGGCCAGTCCCTAGCCACGGATTCCTCAAAGTTTTTCGAGTCAAAAAGCGCAATTGAGCTTATCGGTTCTGATATGACGCGGATTGCATCAAAGCGTGCTTACGAACAAGCAGGCATCACACCCAAGGATGTTTCCGTGATCGAGCTGCATGATTGCTTCACCACCAACGAAATGTGTGCTCTAGAAGGGCTAGGTTTAGCCGAAGAGGGTAAAGCATGGAAGCTTGTTCGAGACGGTCTCATCACATATAATCCAAAAGGAAAAGAGAAAGGTTGGATTGTGAATCCAAGTGGAGGGCTCATCTCCAAGGGACATCCCCTAGGCGCCACAGGATTGGCACAATGTGCAGAACTGGGTTAGTTGCTCCATCATCTTGATCATTTCATTTTGAGGCACAACATCGTTAACAAGATCATGTAATTGTCAACAGTCTGGCATCTCCGTGGATGGGCAAAGCGGCGGTCAGTTGCATCGACACGGTATTGCCTCCAGCATAACATGGGCATGGGCGGTGCGACGGTGGTGACGATATACAAGAGGATAGATGGTGAGGCAGCTCCGAAGATTGAGGATACAAAGCCGGAAGAAGATGGACGAAGTCGCTTGGGCTACAATCCTGCAGAAGAAGCGCGATCTATCAGCCGTGAAGACTGGGCGAGTGTGATTGCACAAGGAGAAGCAAGTTCGGCGTGGGCGGCGGCTGAATTGCCGTGGAATTTGAATCCGGGGGCTTATAGTACTAGAGCCAAGCTGTAGAGATAGATGGCTGTAATCGTTTCCGAATAGAAAACGGAAGAGGCTGTTGTGTAGTCATTAATACTTGTATGTATAACACAAGATGTAAAGATGAAATCGAATGAAGAATGTCGAGATTTGCTTCCAGGTTCCATGGATGCCACCCAGTGCACCTGAGAAAGCTCTACCGCGCCATAACGGTGGGAGTTATAGCGGCCTTTAGCTGCTGTTAGCGGCCCACTGCCCTATAACGCACCGTCTCCGCCCCCGCATTTTGCTGCCTGGGGCATCACGGAGCTCTTTTCTCAGCCCAGACAGTTACATGTAGTTACTGGACATGATCCTTCCTCACCTCCAGTCTGCCACTCGTGAATCACCATCATCGTCAAAACATGTCCACTCGAACTGGAATTGTCAGGCGTCAAAGCATTGCTCTCGGTCGCTCCGGTCCGCGGTCCAAAAACGGATGCGCAACTTGTCGCCTCCGCAGAGTTCGCTGCGATGAGAAACGGCCGAATTGCGGCCACTGCGATAGACTCAAACTCGAGTGCAACTATCAGCCTCCACGGCCTCGGCGCAGTCAAAGAAGACTTCCATCTCCTGACGAAAGCTCAGTTAGCTCTCGACAAGACGCAGAAGTCGATGATGAATCACGGAGATTCAGTGTGGTCGATGAGAGTACATGTAGCGAGGGGGCCTCAATGCCGATGTCGTCCTTTTCAGCAGCAACTCCATCACGCCCAAACAATGACTTGCGGAATATGCAAACAATTCTGCCTACTACTGACATCAACGATCAATTCGATGTTTCATCTGACAATACAAATCCAGCTGGCCTCATCTCAGACCCAATGGCGCCCTATATAACCCCAACAACTGCTTCGGCCCTGGATATCGGCTCTACCTCTATACCTTCAGGAGACCATCCAGGGGAACTATCACAATCGCCTTGGAGCCCCAGCTGGTTCGACAGGCTGCCTCTCCCCGACTCGGCATTTTCTTTCACTTCGATAGGATTCACCAGCGCTCTCAGCCCCAACTTCTTCAACGCTGATCAATCATCGGCCTGGCGTGGTGGTGCTCTTCCCGAAATGGACGGCAGCACAATCCTTACAACCTCAAACGTGGATGGTGGCCCAGGCGTACACACTCTTATACAAAGTAATACTGATGATCAGCTTGCCGATGTGGACGGACAAGATGACGGTGGCCAAGTGAGCAAACCGGGATACAAACCTGCCTTTGCCTTTTCACCGCCACTTCTCTCAGACGCCCAGGAAGAGCTGCTCCTTAAGACTTTTGAGTGCGCTATTCAGCCCCCAGCCTCTCTTGCCAGCATCCACCCTCTGGGCTGGCCCAAGATCAAGCGTTATGTGCTTCATATGGCCAACGGGAAACACACCTCGATAGAATACGGGGCTGTCATGCATGCCCTTGCAGCTCTCAGTGCCATGCTCTTCGAGCCTAGCCGACCAGCTGCTTTAGCTGCCCTGGGGAGCCGCGTATCCACCTGCCGCGATGACTTTGGCCTTTTGTCTCTGAGGTTGCACGATGTTGCTTGTGTTGCACTCAAGTTGAGCCTCTCGCACGCGGGATGGGAAGAGCGAAGCAGCCGAGCTCTTCTGGTAGCCATTTTCCTGCTGGCTTGGTTTGAGACGGCCTACGATGGCAATGATCAGGTTCGACCTAGCTTCCCAGAGGATATCGCCGAACAGGTCATTGTCAACGGTCGGTGTTGGGACGCTGGTTCCGCGAGCCTTTTCCAGTGGCTAGACTCGTTTGACGCCAAGATGTCTCATATGGGCGGTCGTCATCTTCTTTCAGAGCCGGCTTTGGAGATCATCAGAAAGCCACACCCTGGAGTCACCGACTCAGCAAGTATGGAAGTGGCAGATAGTGATGCCCTCAATGACATTGACGGGATATCTACTGCTACTACTGCCGCCCTAGTCATGAACAGAAAGGGCGAAAATGTCAATATGAAGCCTCGAAATGGCGGCTCGAGACTCGCTACGTTATTGGCAGAGCCGCCCACGATCCCCAAGAATGTAGTGTGTATGGGTGTTTTCAACATTCTACTCCAGCCGGCCTTTGAATTTCACATGGCATCTCAGGCATACTCGCGGCGCGTTGGCTGTCACGATCGCCACCACCGTCCGCGTGGAACCCCTGAGGATGAGCTGGAAGTCATGAAGGCATGCATGGGTTTTGAAGAAGAATTGGAGGAGCTGTGGCGGCGTCGACCCAGCATCTTAGACCTCGATGCCTCACAGTTACGGCTTTTTGTGAGTGACAACATTGCCCGCAGGCTGGAGCAGCTATTCAGCGTCTACATTGCAACTTTTTGGGCTCACTTCATCTACATCCACCGTGTGGCATACTGGACTTTGCAACACACGCCTATTGCTCTCAAAGCTTTGACGCAGACAGGTAACATGATGCGCCGCAGCGTCGGTCAGCCTATACACCAGCACGCCTTTGACGCGAGCATCCCACGCACGACCTCTACCGCTATCCATCCTGGATTGATGTGGGTGTGCTTTTTATTCGGCTGCGAGGTGACAGATCCTGTGCAACAAGAATGGGCAGTGTTACAGCTGAGAGCTCTGGGTCGGCTCAGCGGCACAACTCAACGACAGGCGACAGCGCTTGACGGCACCGAGGGAGACGGATTGCCAATTGGAGGGTTAGATCAAAAGGGGGCGCAGACGGCCTTCAAGGTGGCACGCCTTCTCGAAGTCATTATTGAGCGCCAGACTAAGCTGGGCGCTCGTGTGGATGGCAAGTATTTGAGCCAGGAGATCTTTGGCTGCCATTTTTACATCATTTAAATAATACAGGCAACAGGATACACCCATGGTATTGTGCGCCCCGAAGTGGCTGCAGGTGACACAGTGAGACATGTCTAACTCAACAATTCTCGTCGGAGGCGAAGGGGTTCGTTCTTACCGAGACCCCGAAGAGACTATCAAAAGAATCCCTTGACGACAGGCTTACTCCAAAGCCACGCGACTGGCTGGTCAACGCACGAGGCTTTCCCGCGCCATCTCCGCATCAGAAACTATCTACCGGATCCTACCAGCGCTATTACAAGCCATCCCCACTAACACCACTGTCACGCTGCTCCCATTCGTCCTCGCCTATCGTCTACCGGCTAATCTCGATGCCATTTGTATTTCCCCATGGGGAGAATCTGCTAAGAAAGGGCGGGGAGAGGGAACACGGCAAGGGCCTGCATGTCTTACCTCTTCCAACTCTCGTGGAACGGTGGTGTGAATCAAGACTCTATCCCAGCGACTCTTGAGCCTGGCTTTGGTATCAACGTAAGCTTTGTCTTAGGTTTTTGGCCGTCATTCCGTTTATATATGTCGTCTGATTCTCCCTGTGTTTCGTTGTAGGCGCCTTCCAAGTCCACAACTCGAAAAGTGCTGTTGGCTTGCATCCACCATCACCACTTTTGATTAGCTATACCCAAGTTCTCATCATCTTGAGTCATTAGCCATGACAGTTATGGATGACGAAAAGCTTCCAAAGACCATTGAGGATGGGACCAGCTCCCATCTCGAGCGTGCGCAGGAAATTGATCCAGCCATCGAGAAGAGGCAAGTCGTTGTCTTCATGAGGACGTGATGATCATCAACAATGAGAGACTAATACAAAGTGACCATTCAGAATCGTGCGCAAGATAGACTTGAGGCTGATGCCTTTTACCGTCTGGATCTATCTCCTATGCTACATGGACAGGTCCAATATCGGTATGCAACTCTTTTCTATCTGTACCATAATCTCGTCACCATCTAATTGACTGTTACCTTAGGCAATGCCAAGATTTTGAATGCCGATGCGGGACACGACTTGCTAGATTCAACCCATATGACGACGAAAGAGTACACCATTGCTCTCATGGTCTTTCTGGTGGCATACTCCATCTTCGAAGCACCAAGCAATCTCGCAGCCAAGGCTTTGCAGCCCAATTAGTAAGATCTAATCATTCATTATTCCTTGATATCTACCATGAGTTTACATACTAACCGCCGTATTCGTGCCATAAAGTTGGCTTGGCTTCTTGGTCATTGGCTTCGGAGCCTTCTGCACGGCCATCGCCGGGGCGAACAGCTTCGCCAGCACATCGGCCCTGCGATTCTTCCTCGGTGCCTTTGAGGCAGGCATTTTCCCCGGCATGGTATTTTTCATGAGTTTTTGGTACAAGGCGGAGGAGCGAGCAACTCGGATTGCGCTGTTTCTTTGCAGTGCTACTTTGGCTGGCGCATTTGGCGGGTAGGTTTTCATGAATTCGAGTCCTAGGCTGTCGATATAAATAAGTAAAAACATTATAGCTGACTTTTTCATTCTCAAAGAGCTATTGCATTTGGAGTTGGACATATGGATGGCAGATTGGGCCTCGAAGGTTGGCGATGGTTGTTCATCGTTGAGGGCGTTCCGTCCAGTGAGTTATCAACTCTTCTGCTTCTGAGTTCAGCCATATCAAGTCCTCTCTAACGTGATTATCACATGTAGTTGTCCTAGGAATCTTGACGTTTTTATTCATGCCAAGTTATCCGGAAAAGGCTGGCTGGCTTACTGAGGAAGAAAAGGCCATCCAAGTGGCACGCCTCGGCGTCAATTCATCTCACGGGTATGCAGAATCTTACAAGTCAAATTCAACGACCCGAGACTAATTTTACATAGAGAGGCAAAACTCAACTGGGAGGATGCAAAGGCTACTCTTAAGGACGTTAGACTATACGTGCATTACATCACGTATATGTGCATCGGTGTCGGCGTCTCATCGCTGTCTCTCTTTGCCCCTACCATTGTTTCGGGTCTTGGCTACAAGAATCTCCAGGCCCAGCTGTTTACTATTCCTCCTTACGCCGTTGCATACGTCGTTACTCTTGTCTTGGCCATAATATCCGACCACAAGAAGACGAGGGGTCTCGTGGCTGGCGGATGTTTTCTCTTTGGCACCATTGCCTTTATCATCCAAGGTGAGTCTATAGTCTGTCTTCGTCGGATCTCTAAATGCGGAAGCTCATATATTATTGTACAGCCTGTTTGCCTGGCAAGCTATATGCCGCCCGTTATGCAATGCTTTGCATCAGCACCGCCGGCGTCTTTGCTGGTCTTCCCCCGCTGTGCGCTTGGATCTCGGACAATGTGCGAACTACCACGGCGGGATCCCTAGCTACAGGACTCAACATTGCCTTTACAGGGCCTGGTCAGATTATTGGCGTCTGGATCTATCGCGCGCAGGACGCGCCATTCTATCGCCTGGGCCATGGAATCAATGCTGGGTTCCTTGCCGTGGGGACGGTGCTGAGCTTTTCTTTGTGGTGGCATTACACGCGGCTGAACAAGAAGCTGGTGGGCACCAATGAACCCAGATGGATTGCGTAGAAGTTTGATACATAGATGAATGGATTGGTGCTTTGTTCTTTGGTCGAAGCGAGATGTAATTCTTTTGATGATGTTCTGTGCACCCAAATTGTAATTGTAAATAGAAGGCTATACCCCCAGGCGACGATTATGGTCGATACATCAAGGTTCCTTCATTTACACATGAATTAGTGATTCATTTTGGCCGAATAGCGTTTTCGTTAAGAGAGCACCTAAGCAGACGTAGAAGGCTAAGTGTTATTATGGCGTGATAGGTATGAGAATGAATACCTGCATGTACCTACTAGGCATTAGAATAATCGTGGCTATCGACATATGATCTAACACTTTTGTATATGGCGGCTTGTTGACCCAGAGAGACCCTCTCTGGAAGAATACCAATAGGGAGACTCTATTCTCAGAGCCCAAAGTACTCAACCTTGGCATGATTCTCTATAATTTTTGGAGGGAAATACTCATCCAATGAACTCCTGCGCGGTGTAAGGGTGCTCGCCCTACCGGCTCGGGTCAAGATCGAAAGAAGCAAATTGAAAGAGGCTCGACAAGTGAGGTTACATGTAAGTAGCACCGGATCAGTCTAGTACTAGGTAGATTAAACGAAGTGGAAGTGACAATTGACCACATATTCGCCAAACATTGGATTATGAGAGATGTACTTGGCCTGAGTAGTAGCATTTGCGCATACGTGAAGCGTTTACTCTCAGATTTGACTAGCCCTGAATCCAAGTTGAAGGCAGGGCACCTGATGATGGGGAAAGGGCAGTGACTTCTCAACTTCTACGCGTTATCCTCTATGACGAATGGTCTTTTAATAATTGTGCAGCAGCTGTTTGCTTGCATCAACCCGTTGAAGAATCTGAACTCGTGGTATTGTCTGGTCTAGACCCAATGCTCACTCTTAATACAAATGAGCCCAGATTCTAGATTCTCCAACTACTGTGCCATAACCGTAGCTATTCTCGCATCATTTGCCTACTCGTGTAATGGGCCATCCTCACCGTTTGGTACCGATCTCACCATCTCATTCTCGTTCATCCCTCATATTGTGTCAGTATCTCTTCGTCCTTCGCGTAGTCTGGCCATCTATTTCCAACTACGCTTCCACGATTTGGCGCCCCAGTCACTCTCAGCCTCTCTCCATAGGCACCAGCCATTCAGGCTACGTATTCGAAGACCTTTGATGGATGTCCTCCTTCAACTGAACTTTCAGGTGAGGACCCCCTGTGATGGTTGAAACGACTTTTTATCCAAGCTTCGGCAATGAGGAGAGTTACTTTCTGAGGGGAGGCTCACGCTTAGCCCACTCAGCCTTTGGCTGACTCTTTTTTGTGTCTCTAGGAAGTGTTCTCGGCCTCAGACCTTTTCAGGTATTTTCATCACTGGCATCAGAACCCCCCAATTCTTCAGGTGAGGACCCCCTATGATGTTTGTATACGACTTTTTCCGAGCTTCGGCAATGAGGAGAGTAGCATTCCGAGGGGAGGCTCACGCTTAGCCCACTCGGCCTTTTGGCTGACTCCTTTTTTTGTGTCTCTAGGAGGTGTTCTCGGCCTCAGACCTTTTCAGGTGTTTTCATCATCGACCGCTGACAATTCAGACAACGAAACCGTCGACGCTGTACACTCGTGCAGCATCGCGTTTTGGTGTGGAAAGTAGAGGGTGCCGAGAGCCGCTGTTTGGCTTTGTTTTTGATTTGGCTTTGACTTTGATTTCTTCCAGACGTGGCATTCTTGGAGAAGTGGCGGATATTCTGGCTCTTTTCTCAGAGAATTTGATGTACATTACCAGTGAACTGAACAATGTGAACTCTGACATGATTCTGAAACAATGTTGTCTCGCTGGTCTTGAATGCTGGATAAATGCAGAGACTTCGCGTATTTGACGGTAACCAGATGTACCTAGGCAATTGCTTTAATGTGGTAGGTTGTAACTTACACCGTGGCCGATTTGACTTTGGACGGTGCTTAGACAGAACCGCAGGTTTCTCTTATATTGAGACGAGGGTGTCTGATAGCAGCGACACAAGGAAGTCGGGAGAAGAATTGATGAGGGGAGGTTATGAGTAGAAGCGAGATACTTTTTATGCTTTATACAAAAGATGTGGAGGCCACGTCGGAAGTGGATATGTCGTATTAAACCTTTCCATGATTTGATGGAAAGTTTTTCGTGGAAAGCTTCTTCATGGAAGGCTTTTTCACCGTGTAAAACATTTACCTGTGAGTTGGATCAAAATCTCGACTGTGGCTTGAAAACCAAGGCTTTTTTCTCAATTTCTAACTTCAACACTGGCTGAAGTTAATCAGGACTCCTGGAAAGTATGGGTACTGCCTTGAAAACTTTCGGCTGAGAGAATCTTCTCGATAGCAGTCAAAACTCAGCCTAGCAATTTCGCCGCAATGGAGTGCAGTCACTCAGCCTCGGCTACTTATGAATCTGGTCGAGTCAAGCCATGTGCATTGTGCGCCTATTCTCATGCTCGTCTAGAAAGCCCAGACAAAGCCCAGATTTCGGATATCAGATGAAGACGAATTGAAAACAAGTCTAAGAGCCGTGAGCTTTTATTTTCACAGACAATTCCCAAGAGAATCGAAGCTACGTGTAGACAACCCAGTTCTATGCATTAGAATAATGAATAGAAAGGTATGTTCCGGCGCTGTTTATAGTCGATATATCACAGTTGATCAATTAATGCATGAAAGCATAGGTAATATTCTAGATAAACATGCATGTAGCGTCTAATCCAGCATGCGGCCGGGGAGAGAGGTAGTAAAGTCGAACGCCTGGCTGATCGTAACATGGGTGTAAGTGAGATGTCTTTGAACTTGCAAAACACCAAGCAAGGCTTCACGAGATATGAGCTTATAAAGAAATAATCAAGAATAAAGACCAGTTTTACTTCATTGGAGCAGCGCATCATTACACCCCCAAGCCGCCCCCCCCCCCCCCCCCCCCCCCCCCCCCCCCCCCCCCCCCCCCCCCCCCCCGCGTA